GTGCCAGAGGCTCGTGCCTCTGCCAAGGTGTTTCCTTAAATAGAGGCCTCCCCCAGCAGAGGTCAGGCAGCAGCTATTCAAATTCAAATTCACCCAGGCACTCAATCACAGGCAAAACAATGCCCCTTCCACTTCCTCTCAATTACAGGCAATCCCAGTCAAACAGTGCCCGTTCCTCTCCCACACGCAATCAGCCAGGACTCTGCAAGAACTCTAGGTGCTTCCACACACTGCTAAACACAGTTTTCCCACAAAATATCCTTAGCTGAATTCTCTCAGCTGAAATCAAGTAAAAGAAACCCACTCACCACTCTCACAGCTCTCTCTCCTGCTCCTGCTCAGAGCTCAGCTGGTCTGTTCTATCATGCTGAGAAAGTATAAACACAGAAAGGTCAAGCTGTACTTGGCAGAAATCTTGGATCACTCAAATTATAGCTGTGGTGTGGGCTATATGATTCAGTCAGCTGTCTAGGGATGGGGTGTGTGTTAACTCTTTCTACTCTTACATAGTCAGAACCAGACCTTGGAGCAGTTCTTAGCAATTTACTGGGGGGGGGGGTCCCCTCCTCCTTAAAGGGCTAGAACAGTGCAGCATGACAGTATGGAAATATATTTGGGATTCCACACTTGAAACAGGGACTATTTAACTGGCTGCAGAAATAGTAGTGCTATATGCATTAAAGGTAAGCATACCTTTTCCAGCTTAGCAAATACACAATTATGATTTTAAATATAAAAACATACTTTATTCTAAAGGTTCACATTATTTGTACAACGCAATACAAAATACTGTAATATAAAACCCTGCTTTGATATAAAAATAAAACTTTCTACATAAGCTGACCAATTGCACCGACAAACATGTTTAATCTTCAACATGGCTAAATCCTGCCTTAGTGCTTGGGAAGTCACGTGACCCACTGCTGGCACTGGTGACTCTTTGCCAAGGATCCCTAACCCTGCTGGATCGTTTTGGTACTCTAGAGGGGGAAAAGAGCAGGACTCAAGCCCAGCAGCACCTTCCAGACCCGCAAGATTCCCAGGGGGATCGGCTTTCCAGCATCCAAGCTCCCTTCAACAGAGCCGGGACTCTCGGAAGCTTCTACCCTGGAAATCTTGCTGGTCTGAAAGGTGCTGCTGGACTCAAGCCCCGCTCTTCTACCGCAGACCCACACGGCCACCCACCTGACACTATCTTGGGGGGGGGGGGAGTGCTCCCGGGGCTCAGTCACCTTTGCAGGCTCCCCACCAAGGAAGCAAAGACAGGCGCACAGCACTCAAGAACAGGAGCGCCGCCAGCCGTGCTGGAAGCTCTGAGCACTCCACAGGGAAACACACACCCTCCGGCCATGCTGCACACCACGAGTGCATCTCTGAGAACCGGAGCCTGTTTCTACATCACACTTCCCCCTGAAAAGAAGCCACACACACAAGCCAGATTCTTGAGTTTGGAGAATCCTGAAACGGCCCCAGAGGGGAGCGACTGAGAGGGATGCCGGCTCCTGGCCACTGGTGGCCTCTGCTTCACTCTCCTTTAGCAGCTAGTTGCCTGTCGCAGGTAAGAGGAGAAAGAGCAGAGACACACGGCAGCAAAGAGGGAGACGCACAGGCCGAGAGGCAGGCAGTGGCTTCATGGTCTCCTCTTGCAGATTTCTCCACCTGTGTCTGGGGGAGCTTCCCGTTTCTCAACAGCCAGAGCTGGGCTCCTCCTGACGTGATCGAGGTCAGGTGCCACTATACTCCCAGGCAGCTGCACAGGGAACCTCTACCTGCACCAGCCAGAGATATTCTGGTGTCTGAAGTAGACAATTCAGACGGCACTTGACACACACACATTGCCCCAGTGTGGCACAGTGGACAGAGTGGCAGACTAGGACCCAGGGTGACCCGGGTTCGAATGCCCACTTCTACCATCGAAGCTCAGTGGATGACCTTGAGCCTCTACACCAATGCTCGGCTTGGCCTACCTCACAGGGCTGCTGTGAAAAAATGGAGGCAGGGAGAAAAGGTTGGGATACAAATAAACCCAGACATGCACAGGGCAGTGGAAAGTCCTTCTGTGCGCTTCTCCCTGAGATGAAGAAAAGCCGCGCAACAGCACTCTGGGCCTTCCCCCTGGCTCATGCACACACCCCCCCCCGCGTATTAGCTCCCTACTCAGCTCCCGCTCCGGCAGCCTTACTGGCGACACTCACAACCGGCTATCAGGAAGTGGCCAGCTTAATATCTGGCCTCCGCCACAAGCTTGGGAGGTGACTTCAGGGGAGCCACTCTTGCTGCCTCTGCCCACAATCTGCGGCAGCGGGATAACAACGCTGACTTCCTTTATAAGGATTACAACGGTGTAAGAAATGCCTGGGTGCTCTCTGAGCACTTCCGAGCACTCTGTGAACGTTGCGCCGCTCCCTACCCGCTGACACAGCGTGACTCCTCACTGACCCAGCTCGGTCTCATTCTGCAAAGTCTTCATGGCTAAGCCCCAGAGGGTCACGCTGGAGAAGAACGGACCTTCGTTGTTCCTGTATTCCGCAGACGACAGACGGCTGGTCAGCTCACTGCCACAGCTGCCGCTGCCCAGGCTGGCCCCCATGGGGCGAATCCCGTCAGACTGCAGCGGTTCCTCCTCTGGTGGCCTCTCCGCTTCTTTATAAGAACATGGGCGGTTAAATCTTTGTTGAGCTCTGGAGAGCCTGACCGGGTCTAAGCTCAATTTCTGATGGTGGTTTCCACCACTGTCCTGTTGCACTTTCTGGACTGCTCCTGCCGGGCTCTCCAGTTCACTTGCTGAATTCCCAGCTGGGTGGATGGGGAATTTCACAGACACTGGCAGTAAAGTTACCGATATTTCTTGGGTAAACGGGTCTGGCGTTTGGGACTTTTCAAGGTCAGACGTTTCCACTGCTTGGGTAAGCTCATCAAGACTATTGGGATCCTCGTTACCTACTTTGCAATGGGTTTTTTTGTGCCGGCGTAAGACGGCAGAACGACTGAAGCATTTACTGCAGGTCTCACAGGTATACGGCTTTTCCCCAGTATGAGTCCGGATGTGTCTTCGTAGGTCACCAGACCCTGCAAAGCATTTCCCTAGAAAACAAAAAGGTACTTAAATGCCAGCTCTTACCAACAAAGATCCATTGCATATGTAGCGTGTCGTTCTGTACAATACTCTTAGATTAGTACACATCATTCCTAAAATTTATTTATTTATTTATTTAATTTTATTTATACCCCGCCCTCCCCGCACGCGGGCTCAGGGTGGCTTACAGTAGTTTTAAGTGAATTGAGTTTGCTGTTTATCATAGAATCATAGAATGTTAGAGTTGGAAGGGACTTTGCAGGTCCTCTAGTCCAACCCACTGCACTCTGCGGGAGCATAGCCGAAAGATAGCCCTACAACATACCCGACAGATGGTCATCCAGCCTCCGCTTGAAAATGTCCAGTGAAGGAGCATCCACCACCTCCCGAGGCAGTCTGTTCCACTGCTCAACCACTCTAACAGTTAGGAAGTTTCTTCTGATATTTAGCTGGTAACAACCCCCTTGTAATTTCCACCCATTAGATCTAGTCTTGCCATCCGGAGAAAGAGAGAATAGATCCGCTCCATCTTCTACATGACAGCCCTTCAAATACTTGAAGACTGCAATCATGTCCCCTCTAAGCCTTCTCTTTCCCAGGCTAAACAGACCCAACTCTTTCAGCCTTTCCTCATAAGACTTGGATTCCAACCCTCTCACCATCCTGGTTGCCTTCTTCTGGAGCTTGTCGACATCCTTCCTAAAATGTGGTGCCCAAAACTGGACACAGTACTCCAGGTGAGGCCTGACCATAGCAGAATAGAGCAGAACTACCATCTCATTCATGGTGCATTTAGATACCACAACAAACCATGGCCAGCATGAACACAGCTTGCTGTCACTCTTGCACATGGCCCACCCTCCCTTCATGTGCCAGTCAAGACTTCCCAAACCAGGCAGCTTTCAGTCGAGCTCCGATTTCTCATAACCATTGAATGACGGTTCCAAGCTTAGACTGGAGTTTCTTTCCTCTGCAAAAGCCCGGATTTCCAACTGGAACTTAAAATTCCAGTTTATGGGAAGGAAATTTAAGAACATAAGAAAAGCCCTGCTGGATTGGACCAGTGAGGGTCCATCTAGTCCAGCATCTAGTCTCAGACTAGTACACTCTCTACAAGCATGGACGGCTTCAAAAGGGAATTAGATAAACATATGGAGCAGAGGTCCATCCGTGGCTATTAGCCACAAGGTATAGATAGAGACTCTGGTGCAAGTGATGCTCTGTCATCTTGGTGCTTTGGGGGGTCAACAGTGGAAGGGCTTCTAATGTCCTGGCCCCACTGGTGGACCTCCTGATGGCACTTGGTGTTTTTGGCCACTGTGTGATACAGAGTGTTGGACTGGATGGGCCTTTGGCCTGATCCAACACTGGCGTCTCTTATGTTCAGACAATGGCCAGCCACTTCCCCTGGAGGTCCAACAACAGGGCATGGAGGCCGAGGCCTTCCTCTAATGTTGCCTCCTGGCTCTGGGATTCAGAGGTTGACTGCCGCTGAACACCAAGGCTCCCTTGAGTCACCATGGCCAGCAGCCACTGATAGACCCGTGTTCCATGAATCTGTCTAATCCCCTTTTAAAGCGGTCTGTGCCTATGGCCATCACGCCATGCCACATTTTAATCGCTCACTGGGTAAAAAAGTATTTCCTTTTGTCCCTCTTGAACCTACTGCCCAACAGCTTCACTGGATGCCCTCAAGTTCTAGTACTTTGGGAGAGGGAGAAAAATTTGTCCACAGTTTGATTATATGGTCATCTAAGAAGAGAAGAGGAAGACACTGGATTTATGCCCCGCCCTTCACTACCCAAGGGAGTCTCAGAGCGGCTTACAAACTCCTTTCCCTTCCCCTCCCCACAACAGAGACCCTGTGTGGTAGGTGGGGCTGAGAGAGCTCTTGACACAAACTGCTCTTTTTCAAGAACAGCTCTTGTCAGAACTATGGCTTGCCCAAGGTCATCCAGCAACTGCAAGTGGAGGAGTGGGGAATCAAACCCGGTTCTCCCAGATTAGAGTCCACGCACTTAACCACTACGCCAAACTGGCTCTCGTATTATAAACATCCGATAATGTTCCAGCATTTCAGTTGTATTTTAAACGATTGGTATTTTATGTCATTTGTTTATATGTTATGGCAGGTTTTAATTGTGTTTTTATGATATATCTGTAAGCTGCCCTGAGCCCACCTCGGTGGGGAGGGCAGGGTATAAATTAAACACATTAATTAATTAAATAAATAATAATAATAATTCAAGACTTCCCAAACCAGGAAGATATCAAACATTCCCCTGTGATCCAGATACAGGGGGAAGAGAGTGTACAAGACAGACAACAAACTTTCTTCATGTCCATCACAAACAAACAGAATAAGGTTTGAGCCCAGCGGCACCTTTAAGAGCAACGAAGTTTAATTCTGGGTACAGGCTCTTGTGCGCAGGCACACTCCCTTCAGAAATGGAAACTTATACCCAGAATTGAACTTTGTTGGTCTTAAAGGTGCCGCTGGGCTCAAACTTTATTCTGTCACTTCAGACTAACAGGGCTGCCCACCTGAAACAAACAGAATGTTACTCTGGTACACGAATGTGCCCTTGCCTCTACAGCAGCAGAAACAAAATCTCAGGGTCACTGGAAAGTAGTGAAGAGATGTACCTACCCACGGACTGTGAAGTCTTCCTGGGGAAAGGAATCAAACCCTTTTGCAGACTCTCTAAGGACACTCAAAGAGGATAACAGTACTTTCTAAAATGGAGCAACATGAGCCAGTGCTCTCTCACAAACGCAACAACAGTGAGCATATTGCAGTAATTCAGGTACTATTTAGCGGCAGCAGTACCTGAATTCTAAAAATCCCGTGTGCCCCATTTTTTAAAAATAAAACTACAACCTAAAAAAGAGCAACGATTTTACTGTACCAACCACTGGCCAAGAGTGCACCACAAGGGTATCCAGACGAGCTTTCTTAACTGCCCCGCCATTATAGAAGTCCCTGTTCTAAGAGGTCAATTGAAGGGCAAGCCTGAAGACTTGGTATTGAACAACCATGATTAGATGTGGAGTGACTAATTTAACTGCGTAGGGCTTTTGTTTGCTTGCTTTCACTGCAATAGCTTGTGCTGAGCAATTAGGGAAGGACAGAAAGTGAACCAATCCAATTAAATGAGGAAGGGAAGAATCATGACGTTCATGCTCAGAACAGACAAGCAAGATCATGAGACTGTTCCTGGGAGAGAACCCCATCCCTGGACTGAGATGAACCGCTGGAGTGTTTGGAGTGTTTGAAGTGTTTGACTCCCAGTCCCTTCCAAGGTCCCATAGAAGACCTGACTGATTCCTGCAGAACCTTGCCAGCAGGGGGCACTGTGTACTCATGTCCTCCTTGTCTGCGAAATATATATATTTTCAAGAATAAATACAGATGGGGAAACATTTGTAAGTACTATTACTATCAACTGGCTGTACATCAGCATGGACAGAAGCATGAAGACGTTCTAAGCAAACTTCTTTAACAGGAGCTTTTTTGGTGAAAATGGGAGAAGATGGCTTAGTGAAAAGGGAGAGAGACCATTACGACCGAGCAAGGGAATCCAAAAAGGCCAAACTGAGTATGCACTTCAAGTACCTTGCAAGAAATATGAGAAAAAAGCCAAGCAGCAATCCCTCCATGTCCAGCTGAGTGCAGGTTAAGTACATAAGAGCCCGGCTGGATCAGACCAGTTCTCCATCGAGTCCAGCCTCCTGTCTCACACAGCAGCCAACCAGTTCCCCTGGAGGGCCAACAAACAGGGCAGGGAGGCTGAGGCCCTCCCCTGCAGCTGCCTTCCAACTAGTGCTGTGAAGCCTCGGGGGAGGGGGGGCCTGGGAAATTTGGGGGGGGGGAACTTTTGGCCAAGACAGAAAAATTGGAAATTCTGGGGCGCACTGAATAAAACTCCTATGAAATATTTTCTCTTTTAGAATGGGTGAAATGTTTTTAAAGACAAGGTGGGCGTGCTGTAGTCATAGATGGCCCGTAAATCCAAGGTGCATTTCTGCACCTAGAAGGACACCTGATCTGCAGGAGGTTGAGCATGCAGGGCTCTCATGGCCTTCGGTTGCCCTTTTGACCCGATGAGGCGGGCCTTTTCCCTTCTCCCTGAAACCGCTGGGACACACTGACCCACAGACTGGGCAAGAAGCCGCTTGCAGCCCTACCTTGAAGGAGGGAGAAGAAAAGATCAGAAGGAGGTGGGGCAGAAACTGCACCAAAGCCTCAGAGGAAGTTTCATGTAGAACTTATTTTTTCCAAAATTTCAGCCCCCCCCCAAAAAAAACCCTCCCTTTTTTCATGGCTTCAAAATTTTCAGAAATGTTACATTTCTACTCTCAACACTGACATGCAGAGGCCTGCTGCCTTCAGTCAGCGTGACACCAGTAGCCCCTGATGGAGCTCTCCTCCATGGATCTGCCTGACCCCCTCTCAAACCCATCTATCCTCACCATGAAAGTGATTTCAAAGGGGAAAATGCCAAGGAGCCACGCCCCAGGGGCCAGCACCACAGCCCTTCACGCAGAACGCAAGGACAAAGTAAAAGGACTTGAAGCATCTACACCATCATAAATAGGTATTTACTTAACCCACCATGAGAATCAAGCGTGAGAAGAAGGAAGTACAGTTTGAAATCTGTGCAATTAATGCTTTGGTAAGTGAACAAACTAAAGAGGAGTTTCATATTTCAAGTCATCCATTAATCTTATATGGGATTCAATTAATATGGGATTGGCTAGAAGGCCCTTCCTTCTCCTTTTACTACAGTTCTGCTGCCCATTGTACACTTCGGGGGTGAGCAATTCCTTCCTTTCCTTCTTTTGTAGAATCACATATCCCATCTTCAAAAGGAAATGTCTGCATTCTAATATATATACAGGGGTCATTTCGTAGAAAAAGAGGGGCAGGAGCTCATTAGCATAACTTATTTGCATATGCCACACCCCCTGACATCACCAGAATCAGCCCCATTACAGTGCCACTTAGTTCTGAGTAAACACACGGAAGGAATCCGGATGTTAATTTGGAACCCCACCCAGAACTTTACGTGGGGACTTCCCCCCCTTCAGCAATTTCCTATTTACGTTCTCACTGCCCAATTCTTGAATAACTGATGATACAGTAAAATCAACTGTAGTTAAAATAGAACTGCGGGGGCTTGTGACGGAGGAAAACCCACCCACCCCTCCCTTTAATCCTAAGGAAAGGGCTTGGCATTTATGTACTGGGTTTTTTAAAAAAAACAAAAACAAAAGCAATTGTAGCAGAATACCTTTTCTTAAAATCAAGCCAACTACAGTGTAGCAAAATAGTGCTTTTAAATCACAATCACGCCTTCCCCACTCCTTTCCCCCAAGGAAGACTCGAGGCTCCTCCATCAAGAGCCGGTATCGTGTCTAGTGGCTAGAGCATGATCTGGGAGACCCGGGTTCGAATCCCCACTCTGCTATGGAGGCTTGCCTGGCGACCTTGAGCCAGGCACACACTCTCACCCTGTGAGGTAGGCAGGAGGGGCGCAGCCAAGTGCGTGGTGCTGCTCTGGAAGAGGTACCGCGACCTCGTCAGCAAGGAGCCCAAGGCCGCCACTAGAGCTGAGGCGAGCTGAGCCCCGCAGCCGCCCCTTGACGTTCCGGGCAGCTGCGCACAGCAGCAGCAGGACCAAGGCAGGGTGGAGAAGGAGCCCAGGGCGCATGGCGGCTACCGTTGGGAGTGTCTTGGGAATGGCGCAGAGGAGGCGGAGGAATGCCCGAGGAGCCACACCTGCAGCAGCTCAGCCCAGGATCCTCCCAGCCCTGCGCCAAGCGGTTCCCCGGCACAATGCACCCTGCTCGGGGGGGGGAGAGACACAGCCAGAAGAACGTCAGTTGCAGCCCTCCTGCTGGGGATCTGCCTACCCTCCCTCGCCCTTTACTGCGCACGCACTCCTTCTCCTCCGGCCCCGAGACATGGCGGTGCTGCTCCCTGCGGCCTGGCGAAGCTAAATGAAGCACCCGGTCAGCCGCCCTCCCTCTGCGGCTCCCCGCAGCCTGCCTGGCTTGCTGACTCACCCCGGGCACGCAGCAGCCGGCCCGGGAGGCCATGCAGTGTAGTGTGGGGCCTGGCCTGGAGACTGAAGGGTGGCCGGGTGCAGGGAGTCAAGTGCTGGCGGAGCGGAGGCCCGTGCTGCCGGGGTGGTCCCTCCACGTCCGCCATTGCCATCTCCTCCTTCTCTTTCCTGCCTTCCCTTCATGAGTCTCAAGTTTGAGCTGGCCAGAGAAGGGGACGGCGAGAAGCAGCAGCCTGGCTAGGGAGGCGCGAGCTGCAGCAGTGAGAGGAGCAGCAGGCTGAGAAGTGGGCTGTGCAAGCTTGCAGTGGGAGCCACAACCATGGCGGGCAGCTGAGCCACTGGGCGCCCTGGCCGGCTGCTACTTGCGGGCAGGACAGGGAAAGCGCGGGGGCAAGCCGGGGAAGCCACAGGGAGGCCTCCCCGCTTCTTCAATGGCTTCTAGGCAGGTGGGCCAGGGAAGGCGGGAGGCTACTGGGGGCGGAGCTTGCCGCTCCTGGGCTCGTTACTGCCGGAGTGTCGTTCTGGTGCACTCCGGCAGGAAATGAGCCATCTGTGTGTGTGTGTCTGTGTACGCGCGCGCAAACACCTCTGTTTCCCCCTTACTTTAATACACTTTTGGAATTGCATCCCTGAGTTTTGAAAATATGTTCCCCAAATGCACTGGTTAATATTTTAGGTGGAAAATTCCATGACAGAACAGAAAGATCACAGCAAACACTTTCATGAAGACACCCCCTGCCCCCCCGGCCGCTCATACACACACAAACAGAACCCGCTGGGACTTCATGACTAGCCAGAACATCCACACCCAGGGGTTGCATTTGTTAAGAACTAATTAAGCACAGACTTACCACAAGCTGAGCAGCTATAAGGCCTCTCTCCTGTGTGCCTGATCCTGTGCTTCACTAACTTCCGGGGTAAGTTAAAGGACTTTCCGCACTCATCGCAAGTGAAAACTTTCTCTACCGCGTGGTTCTTTTTGTGTTCCTTTAAATTACTGAAGTTACTAAACCCTGGAACGATGGAGGAAAGAGAGAGATAGTTACTTGCGGGGGGGCCTGCCCCCCTGCAACTGTCCCTGCAGCAGACGTTCGCCTAGGGATTCAAGCCCAGGCAATTCATGCCGTACCCTATGAGCATGGAAGGGCACACCGCCCAGCTGCAGCTCAGTGGCAGGCAGAAGGTTGCAGGTTCAATCCCTGGCACCTCCAGCTAAAAGGACCAGGCACGGGGGAAGGGAAGGACCTGAGGCTCTGGCTGCTGCCAGTCAGATAAACAATATGGACCTTGACATGGCCGGACTCAATGCAAGGCAGCTTCATGCGTGTCCACCGTCTTCCAGCAAGCTGCACCTCCCTGAATTTCCAGGCAGGGGCCTGGCTCAGTCACAGACCCGCCGCTTGGCAGGCAGAAGGGCCCCAGGTTCCATCTCTGGCAGCATCTCCAGTTTAACGAAGAACAGGCAGTAGGTGATGTGAAAGACCTCTGCCAGAGACCCTGGAGAGTGGCTGCCAGTCTGAGTAGACAGTGCTGACCCTGATGGACAGGTGGCCTGATCCAGTAGAAGGCAGCTTCATGTGTTCATGCCCTACATCAAACTGATGGTGCTGCAGCAGCCAGGCAGAGACCACAGGCCTGCTGCTCCTCGTGATGGGCTGACGCATGTGCGCCTCCCACACACAGAAGTGCTGCTAACTGTTGCACGACAGGCTAGAATGTTCCCTCTCTCAAGCCCAGCACACAGCTGGAGTTTGCCTGGGCTGGGGGGCGGGAGAGGCGGGGCATTGATGCAGCTCTCTACAGTACTGCAGGGTTCAGGGGGGCGGTGGCTTAGAGAAGCGAGCAGGGCAACTCTTGACATACCTCGGCCACAGATATCACACAGGTGAGGCTTTTCTCCAGTGTGAATAATGATGTGACGCTGGACATCCCCAGATGCAGCAAACCTAGAAGGGAAGAGGAGAGGTCATTCAAACTTCCTGTGACAAAACTTGTCTCTCTTGACCGCCCAGACCCAGATCACGCATTTAAAAGCCTCCGTAGTGAGAATGTACCCGGTTCGGGCGCAAACAAAAGCTGCTTCAAGGGATTCAGAGTACAAACCACACAGAACCAGTGTGGTGACCATGTCCCAATGTTACACTCCGTCCTGAAGCCCACTGGCTGGCTTTCAGCCAGCTGTTCTTTCTCTGCCTCACCTACTGCACAGGCTTGTTGTGGGGTGTAAGGACCACACAAGGCTGGGATGAAAATGTCACACACAGCCGACAACTTGTCCTTGCTGAGGGCAAAGGGTTGTGTCAGTGCCCACAGCGCCCATGTGGAGGTGGCAGATCACACAGTGGACACGTGCGGTGCCACTGCTGCCCTCACTACTAGTAGCGGGCTGCTCTGCTGTGGGGAGTCTAGACAGAGGACCTGCCCCCCCGTGTCATGGTTAGAATGCTGGGCTAGGAGAAAGGAGACCGGTTCGAATCCCCACTATGCCATGCTGGGTGACCACGGACATACTCTCCCACACATTGGAAGACATACACTCTCAGCCTACCCTGCCTCACAGGGCTGTTGTGAGGATAAAATGGAGAATGATGTAAGCCAATCTGGGTCCCCATTGGGAAGGAAAGCAAAGTACAAGTTAAGTGAAATTAAAAATAAGATGAGAGAAGCTGCTGCGCTCAGCATCTGGCTACCATCATCCCCCCCCCCCCCCCATTCCAACTTTCTTCTTCAAAATATTCCTTAGCCGCCAGTTTGGTGTAGTGGGTTAAGTGCGCTTCATGGTGGGGGCGGCAGCTTGAAATATAGCCAGAATTCAATGCCAGGCAGTGCCAAACTGTGAAAGCTGGAAAAATCCCCTTCATGATGTCATTTCCTTGCTGAGATGGTGCTGTCTGTATTCATATCCTTTAGCCTGAATAAACATTAACCTGAGTCGGATGTTTGCAGGCAGTCATCAATTGTTTTGTCTTGGTAGCAATAAGGACATTGCAAGAGGGGTTAAAAAAAATCTATGGTAAATGCTATACACGCTTTGACAAAAAAGGACGCTTCAGGGGAGAGGATCTCATTGACAAGATGCCTCTGGATAAGGTGGGGGACAGTAAGAACGGGGAATCGGGCCAGACTTCCCCTACATGCAAGGGAAGCTTCCAGTGGTGCATGGGGGGGGCACAACCCCCCCCCCCCCCCCAGTCCCCCTGCCTTTTGTCCCCTAGGCTTCCCCAAACTTTACCTTCTGGAGGTTACACAGGGCTGCTGGGGTGAGAGGGAGGTAGGAGAGATCTGTGTCTGTGAGCGCCTTCCATTCACAGTTCACAGAGCAGCAGTTTTTGTTTATTAAAAGCTTCTCACATTCAGAGAATCCCACGTCTTTCCTTCAGAATCCCCGAAGTGTCATCTTCACTGAGACTTTGCAATGCGCAAAAGACAGCAGTGGCTTGACCCGCTGTTTTCTGAAGCTGGCCACTCTGGACTTCTTGAAGTCAAGACAACTCCCTGGGATAGGTCTCAGTTTGTTCAACTCCAGAGAAGTTATTGCCAGTGTATTAAGACACTCTCACACTAAGGGTGTGTTCAGATGCGCCGTTTGATCTGGTGTCGTCACGCTTCAGCAATGGATTTTATCTGCACGATCACACAGTCAGCATCTGCCTCCCGTCCCCAGCCGTTGGTTTCCGGCTCAAAACCGCTTTCACCTGGAGTATTCTGTTACTAGGTCCCAAAGTGGTGTTTTCTCAGCTCTCCCGTTTAAAGCTGCATTACCCCCCTGTGTGATCGCTCCTCTGGTGTCAAGCCACTTCCGGTTTAAACCCCCTCCCCGCTCGAAAGCTGCCCAAGACTTCTGCTTTTCACCCACCGCTTTTTTAATGCGTTGGTGATGTGCGCATAGGCGGAGCTCCGCTACCATGTTTAGAAAACCAACATTTAAACGGTCACTTGTTTTAGAGTTTAGATGAGTTCGGGATCTCATGGAGGCCATTTTCGGGTCAAACTTTTAAAGGGAAGTCTTTTGTTGGAGGAGTTGGATTGATTCACCCTGGTGGTTCTGCACATGCGCCATGATAGTTTCACCACCCCATTCTACGGAGGGGCACCTATGCGCATGCGCAAACGGAGAAAAAAATGTAAAAACCTGCTGACGCACGCTCCCGCGCATCAGTAGTGTAGACGCCAGGGAGCGAGGTGACTGCACAGTGAGGCGGGATAAGGGAGGTCAGTGTGATCGCGATTATCCAGATCAAATATAATCCGGTTATTTATTTTTGGGGGGGGCCCTGGAGGGGATTTTTATTGCATTTTTTAATATACTACAAACTACAACGAAAAATTGGGAAGGGGTAACTACATCTAGGGAGAAAGGAAAGAAAACCACAACTAACTAAAACCCCAAGAATAGGAGATCATCACAACAGCTTGTATAAATGTTAAATTGCTAATATTACTTTGAACATAGTCGGCTATGCTAAATTTTTTATCTTTTTATCCAAAGTTTTAACCATTCAAGAGAATGGTTAGAACCGGAGCAGTTTAACCCCCTCTCAGCACACCGTCTGACCGCACCCTAACTGTGCAAGCTTCATACAAACCGTTTCCCACAGATTTCACAGATGTAAGGTTTTTCACCCGAATGCCGACGTAAATGAGTCTGAAGATTGCCCGCCTGCAAAAGATAAAGAAAGTTTTTAGTATAGTAGAAGGACCCAAGTAGGCCACCTTAGTAAAGGTTTACAACTGGAAAGGAGGACCTTGCTTTATTTCCCAATGTCAGCAATGCAGTGCTTGATATTAAGAATGAAACAATGCTAAAATATTATCAGAATCACTTTATTGTATGTGGCCATAGGCCTTCACAATAGCAAACACTCTCAGAGAGCTTGTGCATAACATATGATAAAAAAAATTAAACTATAAAATGTATAAAACCTGTTAAAACTACCTCAGCCTATAATATTTAAATCCGATAAGACCTCTTAAGAACACTCACTTAGTTGCAATGGTACTATTTGATTTCTTTGCTCTAATTTTTCTCGCGGCCAAGGCAAAAAGAGCCAGTCTTGAAGAGATGAAGGGGTCCTCATCTGAGAGAATAAAGGCCATCTTATCATCATCAGACAGGGGGTATAGGGCTGTCAATATCTTTGCTAAAATTTGGCACTAGGTTCTACATATAAAGGACAGGCCAGAATATAATGGGGAAGGTCTTCCACTGACTGCCCACATATGCAGATATGTTGTTCTACTGGGGAGCTAAAATATTAAGATCAATGAGTGCGACGCTAGAGATGGGTGATGTTTTACTTGCATCAAAGAAATGGCCAGAACTTCCTGGTCAATGCTATCCACCATCTATGGAGAAATCTCCACCCTGCATTCTCAGCCATACCATGATTGTGCTTGTGCTGGGAGCTACAGGGAACACGTGAGGCTCCCCTAATCTCATCCTTCCACTGGGAGAAAAGCCTCTTATAGGCACACCTGAGAGTTCTGCCTCCCAAATGCTGCTTGGTGCAAGAAGAAGGGAGGTCTTCCAGCACCTGCCCCAAGAGCTTTCAGCTCAATCCGGAGCCTGGAGACCAAGAAAACCTGCGGGGAAAGGCTCTGAGGCACTTGGAAGTGTTCAGTCTGGAGAAGAGGAGGTCGGGGGGGCGGGGGGCGGGACATGATGGCTCTCCTAAAGTCTTTGAAGGGCTGTCCCTTAGAGGAGGGCGGTGAGCTGTTCCTGTTGGCTGGAGAGGACAGGACTCGCAATTATGGGCTTAAATTAAGGGCAGGAAGGTACCGGCTGGATATCAGGAAAAACTTTTTTACAGCAAGAGCTGTGCAACAATGGAATCAGCAGCCTTGGGAGATGGCGAGCTCTCCTTTGCTGGCAGTCTTCAAGCAACAGCTGGACGAACACTTGCCAGGGATGCTCTCTAGGCTGATCCTGCACTGAGCAGGGGGTTGGACTAGATGGCCTGCAGCGGCCTTCCAACTCTGTGATTCTAACCTTACACTCTGTACTCTGGGAAGATACGATGGAATTTAAAAAGTCAGAAAAATCAACACTCTGGCTCTAAGAGCAGCTCCCAAGGGCTGTCCGAGGCCTGCAGCAGGGAATGGCGAGCAGAACAACGCCATCCACTTGGGATGGGCCACCTTCACTCCCTCCCCCATGTCTTTCACTCTTCCAGGCTACATTTACTGATGAGTGGAGGATTTTTTTTAAAAAAAACTAATTTGAGGTTGAGCTGTACTTTATAGACCTAATGTTTGTAGACACGAATGTCTTGAATGCCTAATATTCTTGAGGCATCCCAACACTTTTAAAGGAAAAAAGGTTTAAATAGAGAGGAGAAAACACATTAAGTATTTCTCAAAGAGATGAAAAGCATCTCTGAACATTTTCTCTCCCCATCTGTGGGTCCTACAGCATTACCAAGACGTTCTAGCCCTGACCTGGATCACCCAGGCCTGTCCCATCCTGTCAGATCCCAGAAGTTAAGCTGGGTCGGCCTTGGCTAGTATTTGGAAGGGCAACCTCCAAGGAATACCAGGGTTGTGATGCAGGGGCAGGCAATGGCAAACCACCTCTGAAATGTCTCTTGCCTAAAAAACTAGTCTACCTTGCCACCTAGTGGTGCATAATGCTAAAGAGCTACAATTTCCAGCTGCCAATCTTAGGATCTCCTGGCTATTCCACAAACAATGCCATTTGATAATTATTATGTATTATTAGTATTATTATTACAAAAAAGTTCTACCCAAATAACAACCTGCCTGTAAGATAAAAGTGTGGCCAGACTGCACATTAACGAAAGCAGAACTAATTCAGACACAAAAGGACACTTTAAAAATATGTATTTTTAAAAATTCCTACCTGTGAGAAACATTTCCCACAAATGTTACATTCAAATGGCTTCTCACCTAAAAGAAGAAGCAATAACATTTGCAATTCTAACTGTATTGGCAGGATACAATTTTTTACAGAGGAGAGCGTTTGTCATTGTAGACAGTCTACATTTAACACACTGACGGCCCTGGGGGGAAAACTGGGAAATTTTGAGGAGCACTGGAAAAAAGCCTCCTATGAAATATTTTCTCCTGTTGAGTGAGAACAACCTTATCTTACAAAGTATTTCACTCATTCCAAATGTACATGAGAGTGATAAGGATTTTCTCAAGTTTTTCAATAACAAAATTGTGAAATTTGGAGCAGCTGAATAAAAATCTTACATTGTAGAATTACATAACCTTTTCATGGACTTCTGTTTAAATGTAAATTATTTTGACAACAATTAATATGCTATATTTAATGATTATCCAGTATTGAAGAGGTAAAGATTTTCAATGTTATAAAGTTTAGGTAGTCCTACCTATTGTAACTCAGAGAGTTGCTATCCAAATACACTTTTGTTTACTACCAAATTTGTCTTCTACCTTCAGCTGGCTGCCTCTCAGGTAGCAGAAATTGAAGCTTCATGTGCTATGCAGTGCAGAGAGTAGCCGTTTACAATTATTTCTCAAGTACTGGACTAACTTGCAATTTTTCTTGTAAAAAGACATGTATACTTTTCAGTTCCATCAATATGTCTGTTGCCTACAATTTTATATTCTAAATGATGTGATTTATGTTGTTTAATTAGTAAAAACAGTTCAGGTTTGATAGAAAGTACTTCATGTTTCAATTTCCCCCAAAATGTCCACACACATCCCAAATTGGGGGGGGGGGGGAGCACATTTTCCCCGTGGTTCCAATATTTACATTTCTGGTCCCACACGTCTATTGTTTCACACAGTGTGTAAAACAGAACTGTTCAGGATTTCATTTGAATACAGGGAACAGGGCTACAATCAAATGGAATTGCTCAGGAAGGCACTTCTATAAAGGAGACTGGGGGCTGTAGTTTATGACACACTTTTACTGTATGTATTTCTCATTTTTACTGCATTGCTTTCTAATTACTGTAACCGTTTTTGCACTGCTGTCCTTGTATTGTTTTCAATGCATTGTTTTCTGATTTTATAATCCAATCTTATTGCATTGTTCACTGCATGTCTTATACTATTTCTGTTGGACTGTTCTTAAACTCTGTAATCCTGAGCCTCAGAAAGAAAGCTGGACTGTAAATAAATTATTCCCAAATAAATCTGCTGAGAAATGGCATGCAAAAGTAATTTCTTACACAGCTCCTCTAGTATTGCACTATAGTACTATATGCACTATAGTCTTAATATATGCATTTTGGGATGCTAATTTTGTTGTAGATCAGCTAGAGATTCAGCGGATAATGCCAAAGGAGCCAGTTGTAACCTCAGCAATTAGTTGTATTGAACTTGTTTATTTTGTGAGGCTCATTTGGTTTCTCAGAAATAAATATATTTAAAATGGCCTTTTTTAAAGTGTGAGTGTTTTTTTAAAAAAATGTAAAATGTCTTATACTTCTTTTACATCCCAAAAGGTTAGTGTGATTTTGGTAAAACTGCAGTGTACTTAACTGTTCCAACATCTGCTTTCTACTCAACCAGTTGTTCTTTGATATCTCTATCTAATTTACACTTCCTACAGGCTGAACATGCTCCATCCAAGCACTAAGCCCTATTTTACTCTGATGGGAAAGATGCACAGTGCAATCCTAAACACATTTATTTACAAGTCCCAGTGGGCTCTACGGGGATCACTCCCTAGTTAAGTGTGTTTCAAACAGCAGTTTTAAGGACGTACTGAAATTAACAGGCTTTAAGTGTGCTTAATTTTTGCTTGGATCACACCCAAAGTTTTGTGAGTCCTCTACAACCAAAAAAAAATGCCATGTGCCATCCCATGCATATTCATTCAGAAGTAAATCCCACTGAATTCAGCAAACTTATGGGGGGCATATAGCCATGGCCTAAGATTGTGCTGCTAATAATTGTGGGCAAAGGCAAAAAACAGACAAAATGTATTTCCCAAAACACATTTACTGCAGAAAAATATTAAAATAGCATTGAAAATATAAAATCTAACAGCAGAGAAACCAAGGCTTGGGTTAGAGGCAATGGTAAACAACAGTTCGGAGCTACAGAAATGAGTCATGTCCTTGCATGTGCCTTCCTCCTGCTCCCCTCGTGCATGACACTTCAATTAGCTACTTCTGCTTTGGTGCAAAATCATCATTTATCTTTACTTCCAGAACCAAAAATATGGCTTGCACTTGCCCTCCAAACCAGGAGAACCCACCAGTTTCATACCCTGGACTAGTGGGCAAGCAAAACCAGAATGCATTGCTTCAGATGCAATGACAAGTGTTGTTTATGCTCACGTGGAAATAATTAATTGAACCACAGTGTGCAAAGGAGGGAAGGGAGCATGCAAGCACAGCCCATCTTCACGTAGTGCCTACTGGGCCCACTGAAGTCCGGAGCATCCTTAACAAACCTAAATTAGCTTCCTGACACTGAAAGACAATTGGATATTCTCAGTTCTCCTGGCTATTACTCTCCAGCAAATACCAGATATTTAGTCATTCCTGCAGCCGGTTTACATTTTCTTGAATCCAATAACTCAAGAAGGGCATTCACGTTAGCCCAGGAGCATGTCTTTGCCGCCTGCAGTATTGGAGGGGAGGTTTAAAGGGACCCCTGACTCACTGAGGTTCTGCTCCTGCCCCCTCCATGAAACAGACTCTCTAGAACACATATTTTTCAATGGCGTATACCATAGGGTGATCCGTATGGAGACTATTAGTCTGTTGTTGGAAAGGTTTCCTGGCAGATCAAATAAAATTAAACTTGATTACCTCCGGTCTGACAGGAACCACCAGACAACAAGACAGGTGGCTAGATTCTGTGCCCAAGTTTACAAGGAGTGTAAAATGCATGGCAATTAGATTCTTTAATCTTTTATCTAAATCATACACAAATTTTACGGCGGTCTTATTTTATCTCTATGTTATAGTCACAGTTTCTAAAATTTAAGTATGCCACTGTTGGTTTTACCTCATATTTATTATTCAAATGTTTTTATGTAAAATGATTGAGAGCACTGGTCGTTGACTGTAACAATAAATTTGACTGATTTGATCAATTAGCTTCAAACACAGGAAGAGCTGCTTTTAGTAAGACAAACAGGGTGACTTCCCATCTGCCTCTTCTCCTGGGGGGGGGGAGAGGAGTCACACTGCCCGTCTCTTTCTGTCTACAGCAGCTTCAGGACCCACAGCAACAACTTTTCACAGGTTGCAAAGAGCTGCTGAGGGAAGACAAAGGTGGGGAGAGATCTGACACAGTGGCCACTCTCCACTTGCACAGACATAAGATCCAGTTCCATGTTCTGAAGTGTGTTTGTGTGTTCATGGTATTGGTAGTAGAATCCACTTTTATTCTGCCCTTCCTTCAAGGAGCAAGCATGGACCTCCCGTCCTGTGCTTTATGCTCACACCAACTCTGAGAGATAGATCAGGCCGAGAGGGACCGCCTTTCCCCACGTCCCCCAGAGAGCACTGAGGTCAGGGACCCAAAACCGCCTGACTGTCCCTGGTCCAAAAGATGCCAGACTGGCCATCACCAGAGCCTTCTCAGTGGCGGCTCGACACTGGTGGAATGAGCTCCCGGAAGACATCAGGGCCCTGCAGGACCTTTTACAGTTCCGCAGGGCCTGTAAAATGGAGCTCTTCCACCAGGCCTTCGATGAGGAGCCGCCACTGAGGAATGAGCACTGGAACCTGAACCATCAAGGCTCTTATTTATACATTTATGCTATGTTATTGACATTAAGACAACTGGACACCAGCCTACCTATATCGGCCCACTTCAGCAAACGCCTTCTGCACCAATCGCACTTTATGTATATTATGGTTTGAAATTTACGCATTTGTATTTTATCGTATTTTCGTCTGTACACGCCGCCTTGATCCTGCATGTGCAGGCAAGGCAGGATATAAATCTAAAATAAATAAATAAATAATAAATAGTGAGGATTTGAACCCAGGCCTCCCTGGGCACAGTTCAACACTCATAAGCCCAGGGGTCATTTCCTACAGGAGCGGCGCTCCGGCAGTAAAGAGCCCAGGGGGCAGGCACATGCAACGCCCCTGTTCCCAGCAGCCCTGGGCCACGAGGAGCACAAGGATTTGCGCGTCCCCCCCCCTCATAGCTAGCAATCCAAAACAGTCCAGTGGAGCCTGAGCGGTGGGTGTTGCCTTCTGACACACTTCCGGTGATGTCAGGGGGTGTGGCATATGCAAATGAGTTATGCTAATGAGCTATGCCAATGAGCTCCTGCACCTCTTTTTCTACAAAATGACCCCTGCATAAGCCCTACTCCTCGCTCGTGTAGTAATTTGGTGCAGCACCCGAGTTGATAAACCAGAACGATAGCTCCTGGTCTATTTGTGGAGATCCTAGCACCACAGAAACTAGAGTGATGAGAAGACGGAAACTAAATAGCATCTCTAAGTATTGGTTCACTGTTACGTTTGGAAGCTCAAATCATGTTTTGTACAGTAAGTGCAACAAACCATGATTTGCTGTGGTGTGGTGCATTTTGCTCATGAGATTATCAATGTTTGTGTGTTCACGACTATCCAAAGAAACCCCCTTCTGAAAACAGATTACAAAACAAGCCTTTTCAGATGTTAAAACCGGAAGTTATCTGTCTTTTCACTAAATCATTAAATTATAATGAGTCTGGAAGTGTTCAATAATAGTACCTGTATGAGATCTTATGTGGAGCTCCAGATTGCTGGGGTGTTTAAAAGCTTTCCCACATAATGCACAAGGATACTGCCTCTCTGAAAGGAAAATCTGGGACTGGTCATTTGTCTCACAAAGTTCCTGAGGTGGCTCTACCTCGGCGTTTTGCTCCAAGCCTTCAGAACTGACCAGCTCTTCTTGGTTTTCAGCAGCAGCAGCATTTGTCCTCTCCATGTCACTTCCTCTTTCTGACTCAGTTTCCCTGGCAATGTCCCCATCAGCAATTTTAGGTTCAGGAGAAATTAAGTCTGAAGACTTTTGAGACCTTAGGAAATTCAGTTTTTTAAGGGGCACCGCTTTTTTAAGTCTCATCTGTTCAGCTGGCTGTAACGGCGTGCTTTCTGAATCCTGGTCTTCGTTACACTCATTTAAGGGCTGAACCAGGAAATTTGAAGGCAAATGATCAGGCGACTCCAAAATACATTCCGAGTGGCTGACGATACAAGAAGCATTATTCTCGACTGCACTGCGTTCTGCAGAGGCACTAAAAGCAAAGGATGGCTCTGGAGGACGTTCGTTGCTGGGGCAAACAGTGTGCTTGTAGAACTGCTTGCTATAAAAGTTACGCAGTTTGTAATAACAATTTGGCTGCTTAAATGGGAGATGTGTGCAATTAGCATCCATGGAATCATGTTTCTGTTTGTTTACATCAACGGAAGAGATGGGAAGTGCAGCAGGCTGCGTCCCTTGCAAATGTTGATCCTCCACAAGTTTGCTGGGCTGTGCAGCAGCGGTACAAGTGCACAGTACATTGGCATCGTAAGTCTCACAATTAGTACCTGCAGCCAAAGTATCTTGCAATGGGAAGGCATTGTTACAAGGCATACTCGCTGGCTGCTCCAAAATTGTGGAGGATTTTAAAAAGGAACGACACACGTTCAAGACGTTCTGCACTTGCAGACATTGTGCAATATCCAAAAGAGCTTGTACGTTGTCTTGGTTCAGGTCAAGATGGGATGTGTACATGTAGTCCAAGATTTGCCCTATTCCACCAACATTTTTAATATCCAGATGAAAGACATCATTCTTCTGGCCTGGAGAATTCTGAAATAGAGTCCTAGGGAAGGGAAAGGCAAGCATACAGAACAGTCCACCTTCAAAAGCATTACAGAAAATTCATAATCACAGTCATCAATCCTTGCAATAGTTACTGAGACCCATTATCTAGAAGCTGAGCAGCTGTAATGACTATTCAGATTTGCATTTCCACACATGGTTACTTCTCAACCACTATTTTCAGTGTTTTGTATAAGAACAATTTAGAATGATTTTAAAATCTCCAGCAGAGATAAGCTATAATACAAAAGTCACCAATTCTAAAACAATGCCATGACTCCAAAGAGACTTGAGTGAATTTAATTCAAGTGGTCCGTAGACTGAAACCTTGGCTTACCATCTCATATTAAACGTGCATGATTTGGCATGGCTCTGCATACATGTGTCAGGCTCTCTGTGCATTTTGCAGTTTACAGCTCGCCTGTCATTGAGAGAGGAGGCTCCTCCCTCTCCCTCTCTTTGAAGTGTCTGGGGCTTGTCACCTTCAGGATGACAAATGGCCTGCCTTCTCAAATGTCTGTGCTCTTGCTTCCTTGCTATGTAAGGCTACGTGCCAATGGGGGGAGGTGACAGTTAGTTCTGGTGGGCAAATGCCGCGTGTGTGTGTGTGTGTGTGTGTGTGTGTGTGTGTGTGTGTGTGAGAGAGAGAGAGAGAGAGAGAGAGAGAGAGAGAGAGAGAGACTGGGTCCTGATCTTTAGTGCTTTTATTTGAATTCCCTATATCTGTACCCTTTGTATGTTTAACTTCAGTTCTAACAATAGATGTGTCTAGGATGGTATCTATCAACTGTCTCAATAAAGTTAGCTTTCTACAAACTGGCTGGTGTCGAGAACTGATTTAACCAAGAACCTGACAACATGGGAACATGACAAACAAAACAAAGAAGCCCCAGGATTTTAGATGGCAAGGGGGGGGGGGGGAGGAAGCAGCTAGGGAAATTTCAGTATTAACAGAAGGTTTAAGGAAATGGCATTCTTCCAGTGCACCAGGCAAGGACAAATACTAGTGTTGACTTCATCTATACCCCACCTTTCTCCCCAGGGTGGGACCCAAAGCAGCTTGCAGTGTTCTCTTTCCCCCTCTTCTATCCCGACCACCCCATGAGATAGGCTGAAAGGGTGTGACTGGCCCGAAGTCACCCAGCAAGTTTCTCCGGCAGAGTGGGGATTCAAACCTGGATCCCCCAGATCCCTGTCCTACAATGTAACCACGACACCAGGCTCAGAATCCCAGATTTCATTTGCCAAAAAGAGCAAATTTATAACCCTTAAGAATGCTAAACTCAACTTGAAAATTAGGTGGAAATGAGAGCAAAGAAGCTCGGTGAAAGTAACAATGTACTGGGCAACTTTGTACTGTATTTGTCAGAGATAACTAGTTAATTCATATTGTGCAGGTTTCCCAGCGAGTAGAGATCCTGCTTTCAGTACCTTTGTGCCTGACTCTTGATAGCAGATACCACACATTCCAGCTCCACAGTGGCTAATTTGAAACTATTCTACTACCATGTAACCATCATACTCAGTTCAAAGATGCTATTTCAGCCAGTGAGATTACTTGTCAATTAAACACTTTGTTATCATCTTTACATCCCTCTACGTAGTTCAACTCCTTCAAAGTACATATTTTATCTATAAAGAAACTAAGCAGCATAAACATTAGTGGTTCTTTGAAGTAATAAAATGGGCAGAATAACCAGAAATGGAAAATAATTTATTGGTATAGTGGTTAAGTGCATGGAATCTAATCTGGGAGAACTGGGTTTAATTCCCCACTCCTCCACTTGCAGCTGCTGGATGACCTCAGGCAAGCCATAGTTCTGGCACAGCTATTCTCTCAAGGACAGTTCTCTCAGCCCTACCTAACTCACAGGGTGTTTGTTGTGAGGAGGGGAAAGGAGTTTGTAAGCCACTCTGAGACTCCGAGTGAAGGGTGGGGTATAAATCAAATCTCTTCTTCTTCTAAAATACATTGTGGGTCTTCTTCAGATAGAAAATCAGGGACCAATGCGAATAATGGGACCTAACTAGGAGTTTGGAGATGGCTTCTGTATAAGCTTAAGCATTTCAGAGTCAAAACGATTGGCACAGTGACTCACAAATGTCAAATGGATGTCAATCTTTTCCCAGCATAACAACCAATTTCAGACATGCAGTGACAACCCATCCCCTTGCCTGTCTAGGGTTACATGATGGCCTCATTTGAATTAGCATATCCATGCCTACCCTTTTGTTTTTTCTTTCCCCTGCGTCTGCCAGTGTATCAGCACCCTTATCTTACAAACAGACCATTCTCTCCTCCGCATCTGTTGCAGCACAGCCCTACCCAACGATTTTAACTCAGCTTGTTTCCAAATAAGAATCGGACCTGAGACATGTTTTGTGACATACCTGAAATATTGGCTGAAAGCAGCTAACACATTTTTATGTGCTTTGAAACAGACCCCTTTGACCACCAACATGCAGTCGCAGAGAAGACCTTGAATGCGCTGCTCATGAAGCTGCTGAAGGAGGTGGCAGCTGTGGCTGGCAACAGCGTCCATTCTAGAATATACTGAAGCTACCTACGACAAAAAAAATCAAAATGACCAAATCCTCAGGGAAAACAGAAGTGACCTGTTATACAAAATAAGTGTTCGCACTTTAAAAGGAGCTGCTTTGCTCAAGATCGCCACTTTGGAATACAAAATACCTCTAGGTCTACTACATAAAACATTGAACCTGATTGCCTTCACACTCTCTGCACACAGTCAAAAGTATTTTGCTCTTTAGGATGCTTTTTAAAAAGTCCCTGTTTCCCCCAAGTGAAAGGCATCCTTTAGTGACTTTAGTGCCACATAGCATGAAGTATCAAGCATTCTTAGAAATGAAGTTGACAACCTCTAGTTCATATGACTGCACAACAACTAAGAACACCAGTTTACCGGCAATATCAAACCACAAGTAAATGACACAGCCAAAAACAAACAAACAAAAAACTGGAAAAAATGGAGAGCGAGTGAATGAGCTAAGGTGTCTAAGAAGCCTAGCCAGCAGACAAAACTGCCAACTCTCCCCCGGACCCCACCCACATCATTTTGACACCCAAGAAGATGCCTCCGCAGCCCTCTTTTATTAAGGCTGTTAGACCTGGTTTGCATAGGTAGATGTACAGGTGGCAAAGAGGGTTGTACCACTTTACACCTATAAGTAAAGAAAAATCACATGCTTAAAACTCCCTCCACAGGCATTACAAATTAGCCTATCAGGGCTCTCTCTTAGCCTTTCTGACTTGGTGCGACATTTCAACAATGAAAAACATGCCCCCCAGGGTTGCCAACCTCCAGGCGGGGCGTGGAGATCTCCTGAAAGTACAACTGGCCACCAGACTACAGGGATCAGCTCCCCTGGAGAAAACGGCAGCTTCAAAGGGCAGGCCTTATGATATACCCTAGATCCTGCACGAAATCCCTTCCCCCAACCCCCCTCCCCCAGGCCTCGCCCCCCCAATCTCCAGGAATTCCCCCGCCCAGTGCAAGGCAATGCAGCCCACTTATTCTTCCTCCTTCTGCTGGAGGCCACCACCGAGACCCACCCGCCGAGGAGCGTTTTCCAACCACCATGAGTCAGTCAGTCCGTCAGTCAGACCTCCTCCCCTCCCTCCTCCGTGCCCAGGCCAAGGAAAGGCCTGGCGCATGCGCTGCCGCCTTCCTCTCGCTCTCTTCTTTGCTTCGCGGCCGAGGGAACACACCTGGGCAGGTGCCGTCCCTCGGGGCTCCCTCTCGCGCCCATCCTTCCGCCCCGACGCCCGAGGCTATTGGCGGGCCGCCTGCTTTCGTCACTTCCGTCACACAGGTAAGCCGGTGACGGCAGGCCCTGGAGGCGGCCGAAGGGAAGCGACCGGGGGGGGGGAGCTCTAGGCTTTTCTCTCTCTTTGGTTACTTCCGGTGGCGCACGGTCTCTCCCTCCGCGGACCATCTGAGGCGAAAGCAGCCGTCGCTCGAAATGATATCGCGAAGGAACCCGGGACTGGCCTTTCCGGTCGCTTCCCCCAACGGCCTCCGTCTCCCTCAGGAATACTTTCGAATGGGAAACGCTGATTTCGAGCGTTTCCCATTTAAAATAAGCGGCGACAGAGACTTAAAACCGCGCTTTCCTGTGAGGAACCGTCATTTTTGCCTTCGGGGCGGGCAAATGGCCAAAGGCCCGCCTTCGGGGTTGCGTCACTTCCGGTCCCGCTTTGCCCCTCCCCGCTACCGGAAAAAGAGGCGGGTTTACCCACAGGTTTCTGGGCGGAGCGACGCCGCTCTGCCGGAACTTCCGGCCGCCTGGTGGCTGGGTGTTTTCTATGGTTGGAGGCGGTCGCGGCTGGCGTTGGGAGGCTCGTGGAAGAGGACGGAAACCCCGGCGTGCCCGTCGCGCGCACGTGTGAATGAGCTGCGGCGCTAGACACGGGAGCCCGCCCTGAGTGAGTGGAAGAGGGATGGCCCCGCCCCCGTTCACAAGGCAGGACGTTTCCTAGCTGGGCACCGAAGGCGCCGCGGATGCCGGGAACACGTGTCACCCAGAGGCGCCGTGCGGCCCCGGCGACTCCCAAGCCCCGTTGGTCGCAGTATAGGAGGGGCTCGGCGTCAGACTTGTTTTCCCATTAAGTCCCGGGCCAGGAAATGTCCTTTTGTTGGACTGTGTAGTGATGTTTTTTAAAGTACTGAAATATCTAGAGTTGCCTATCTCTTCCATTAGTAATAACGCAGCGGTACGCCTTTCCATTTTTAAACAGCTGGAAACCACTTTTAATTTAAACCACTTTTGATGGAGGTCAAGTGTGATTGAGATAATAGGCAGCAGCTAGAATTATTCATTCAGATTCTGTACGTGTGCACTTATCCTGACCTGGATGGCCCAGGGTGGCCTGATCTCATCAGATCTTGGAAAGTAAGCAGGGTTGGCCCCAATGTTCCCTCTAAGCTGTGGAGTCCTGTGAGCAAAAATTCTACTTTGTGAGCTACCGGCATTAACGTTGTGAGCAGGTGATTTCGCTACTGAATAACTTAGTTTGCTCTGGAATCACCCAGAGCTAAGACAAAAATGTGTGAGCCGGAGGCTAAAAAGCTGTGAGCTAGCTCACACTAACTCAGCTTTTTTCCTTACATGTTCAAAGAAGTTTACAGAGAGAGGAATGTTAAAATGACCCTCTGCTTGCCCCCTTTTCTCTTATGGTTCCTTACTACTGGAATGCTTTCCCATCTGATAGTCAGTTCTCTTACTTTAGTATATTATGTTAAAAACAAAATAACAGAAAGGCACGTATTTATCTGGCTTGAAATCTGATGGGAAGGATTTAGAGATGGGAAGAAGGTTTTACGAAAGAGTAGCTATTTGTAAGTGGATTTCCCCTTTAATGAAAATTCCCACACACACATAGCAAGATCTATCTGGGAGAGAAAAAAATCAATTCAAGGCTTTTCTGTTAGCTAAGTAGGCAGTTTTGTTTAAGAATTCGTTCTGATACCAGCCCATTCACCAGCAAACTGGCATCGTGAGTACACACTGGGTTCATCCTTTATAGGGTAAAGGGGGCAAAAGGTCAGGGCCTAGAATTTCAAGGTTTTGTTGTTGTTCACTCGCACAGTCGAGTCCGACTCTTCGGGACCCCATGGACCAGATCATTAATTCTGTTCCCAGATAATTCTCTCTGTCCTCTGTTTAGAATACATTCTACATTCCAAAAAGAAAAGTAAACCATAAAACTCTTCCCTTAGAGATAGCATGGCACCAGCCCTTGACACTGATAATGTTGCTAAGGGAACAGAAGTCAAAAGAACAGCTCCACAGTGGGGGAAGTCAGTCAGGAACAGAATTTAAAGGCATGTAAAATTCCTTAACACTATTCTAAAAGGATGTCATGCTACAGCACCTGCAGTCCTTGCTCCCTAGTGGCCGATGTTTATTTTATTTATTTTATTTTTGGGATTTGTATCCCGCCCTGAGCCTGTCACAATCAACAATATAAAATTCAATACAATCAAAACCATGTCAAAACTTGTAAAACATACAGCTCTAGTAAAAGCCAGATACCTCAGTGGTTGATAGTATTGGGAATAGATTTCCCAAAGATCTATAAAGTTTGGGGTCTCCGACCCAGGCTGTAAATGAGGGCCGACCCACGGAGGGGGACGCCCACTGCCTCAACCAAAAGCCCAATGGAAGAGCTCCGTCTTGCAGACCCTGTGGAATTGTAATAAATCCCGCAGGGCCCTGATCTCACTCGGGAGCTCATTCCACCAGGCAGGGGCCAGGGCCAAAAAAGCCCTGGCCCTGGTTGAGGCAAGTCGGACATCCCTTGGGCCAGAGACTACCAGGAGGTGTTGATTAGCAGAACATCACGTCTTACAGGGCTTGTATGGGGAGAGGCGGTCTCGAAGGTATGCTGGCCCCTGGCCGTAGAGGGCTTTGAAGGTAAGCACCAGCATCTTGAAGCAGATCCGGAATTCAATAGAGAGCCAGTGCAGGTTGTGCAGCACCGAGCGGATGTGCGCCCGTACAAGCATTGCTGTCAACACCCACGCTGCTGCATTCTGCACTAGCTGCAACTTCCGGAGCAAAGTCAGGGGTAGTCCCACGTAGAGAGAGTTACAATAATCCAGTCTGGAGGTGACCATTGCCTGGATTACTGTAGCTAAGTCTTGGGAGGCGAGATATGGGGCCAACTGGAGAGGGAGGCATCCAGGAACACCCCCAGGCTCTTTACCCTGAACGCCGGGACCAGTGGAGCCCCATTGAAGTCTGGGAGCTTAATCCCCTGTCCCAGTCCCCCGTGACTCAGATACAGGACCTCCGTCTCGGATGGATTTCAGTCGGCTCTGATGTAACCATTCAGCCATGGCCCATAGCGCCTCCTCCAGATCTCCCGGGGCCGTATCCGGGTGGCCGTCCATCAGTAGATAGAGTTGGGTGTCGTCTGCATACTGATGACACCCCAGCCCATACCTCTGGATAATCTGGGCGAGGGGGCGCATGTAGATATTGAATGTCATAGGGGAGAGAATTGCTCCCTGCGGCATTCCAGTAGCTCTCCCTCAAGCACCACCCTCTGTCCCCAACCTTGAAGGAAGGCTAGCCACTGCAAGGCAAGCCCCCGTATTCCCGCGTCAGCGAGGCGGTGGGTTAACACATCATGGTCAACCATGTCGACCGCTGCCAACAGATCAAGAAGTATCAGCAGCGCTGATCTGCCTCAATCCAGATGTGTCCAGAGGTCATCCACCAGGGCAACCAACACCGTCTCCGTCCCATGGGTAGGGCGAAAGCCGGACTGGAAGGGGTCCAAGATCGTAGCATCCGCCAAGAAAGTTTGGAGCTGTGTTGCCAGTGCTCTCTCTATTACCTTCCCCAGAAACGGCAGGATACTGGGCAGTAGTTATTGAGGACCGTAGGGTCCAAAGAAGATTTTTTTAGGAGAGGGCGAACCACTGCCTCATTCAGACCCCCTGGGAAGATCCCTGTTAAAGGGACAAGTTGATAATCTCTCTTGGGGTTCCACACCTCATCGCCGCAAGCTTTAACCAGTCGTAATAGGGAGGGGTCAAGGAGGCACGTGGTAGGCTTCACAGCCACCAGACTCTTGTCAACTTCGTCCTTGGAGAGCAGACTGAAGTGGTCCAAAATTGGACCCAAAGACGGCCAGTGGGCTTCCAGTTCTTTTATTGTATCAAATGTGGTCGGGAGGTCGTGGAGGAGTGACAAGACTTTGTCTGCAAAATGGAATGCAAATGCCTCATAGCTGATCGCTAGTTCCCTAGCATTTGGAATGCCCTGTGGCAAATTAGTCAATGACTGAATAATTCTAAATAATTGGGCTGGGCAAGAGCTAGCAGATGCAATGGAGATCTCATAGAAACCCTTCTTTGTGGCCTTCGCTGCCATCTCATAGGTTCTCATAAACGACCTATAGGATGCTCTTGTCGCTTTGTCACGAGCTCGTTGCCATCCTCTCTCTAGCCATCTTAGCTCCTGTTTCATCCCCCATAGCTCTGTGGTATACCATGGAGCTAGTTTGGTACGGGGGTGAAGAGGACGCCGGGGAGCAACTTTGTCGATGGCTTCGGAAAGACGGGATTGTCAGTCTTCCACCACCACATCCAACAAGTTAACAGAGGGAATTGGATCTCGCAGAGCTTCCTGGAACCTATTTAGATCCATTTGACTCTGTGGGTGAGCATAAATCCGCTCACCGCCTTAACAGGGAGGGTTAGGGATACCCAGGCGGGCCTTCAAGGCCAGGTGGTCCGACCATGGTACTGCATTTGCAGTAATCCGGTCTACCATAATCCCTGAAGCAAAGATAAGATCCAGCATGTGTGATGTGTGAAGGTCGGTACAAACTGGGAGAGTCCTAGTGCTGCCATGGACGACACCAGTTCCGTGGCCTGAGAGGAGGCCGCATCATCTGCATGGACATTGAAGTCCCCCAAGACCAAAAGTCTGGGGTGCTCCAAGGCCGAGCCAGATATGGCTTCCAACAGGCCCGACAGGGCATTTGCCGGTGCGTTAGGCGCTCGGTACACCAGGCAAATGGCCGAACTCTCCTCAGCCTCCCACATGAGGCCCACACATTCAGCGCCATCAATCTTTGTCTCAGGGAGTGGCCTGAAGGAGAAAGCCTCCCGGATGCGTAGCACCATGCTGCTCATCTGGGACGGGTGGAGGCCACGCTACTTCACCGGGATGGGTGGAGGACTGAAAAACCGGGGGGGGGGGGGCTAGTTGGTTCAGGGCCACTGTTTCACCCTCCCTCACCCAGGTTTCAATCAGGCAAGCCAGGTCTACCACTTGTTCTGTCAGATAACTTTGCAGAACAGAGGTCTTATTATTGATAGACCTGGCATTACACAGCACCTGTGTCGGAGAAGGGTACATTTCCCTATCCCTATAGCCAGGTTGGAAGGGGATCGAGCATATCCATTTCTCCTTCCCTTCACCTACCTTGTCCCACGGCCAGACCTCCCCCGCCCCATTTGCACTGGAATCCCCGACCCCCACCTGGTTTCCTCCATCAAGTCCTATTGATCTGGCAGAATCTATCTGGATGGGTAGTCGAAAGCAGGACCGGGCATCCATGGTTTTTCCTTCATTTTTTGGAAGGAGAAGAAAGAGAAAAAGGTTTAGAGCATATCCTGTAATGTCTCTTGAGTCTCGGCAAGAAAGGTAGACGATAAAGTAAATAATACTCTGTCCTAAATTTGCTCAAAAATAATCCTGTCTTTAGAGGGCAAGCACGTGTGTATTGAATTGGAGCCTTTGTTGTAACACAGCTGCCTCATCTTTGTCATTTTCTCAGCCGAGGTCTAGATATGACTTGTGAGCTTCGGTTGAATGGCAGTATTTACAATGGCAACGTCTGTTGGTATCTAAACGTGGCCCCGCAGTGCTGAGTGCCTCAGAGTCTCCTTTGCTCCTGGAAACTCTTAACAGAATTGATGCATAAAATGAAACATACAATATCTGCTTATAAATATTCGATGTCAGTTAATAAATACGATATGCAAATTCTCAGAGATGTATGGAGTAAGGAGCTAGATCACTCTTTTTTGCCAAAGCAATGGACCTTAAAGTTTATATCTGCTCTCTGTATGGATCTTAAGCTGCGACTTACTCAGCAAAAAATGTTCACAATAAATATTTGTGCAATTGAATTCTTTAAATTTAGGGGCCCTGAGTGGGGTTTTTTTTTTTTGGGGGGGGCTACATACAATGTTTTAGTTATTCTTCCCCCCCCCTTTTTTTACCATAAAGACATCAAAGCCGCTAACAGCCCTTTAAAAACACAGACTTCTTTGCCCTGCCCTCCCATTCCAATGCGCGTTGGGTGGGTCCTCTTGTTACGTGAACACTTGAGCCCCTTCCTGGACAGGATGGCAGTTGTCTGAGAGGGGCTGATTTGTTAAATGTCAGTTGAATGTAATAGTTTTCTGCTTGAGAAGGTGCGTTCAGATCTTTGTATTATGTAATGTTAAAGCTCTGCTTTTTAAATTTAAGTAACAACAGCTAAAATGTCATGCCAGACTTAATAACTTTTTCTTTTTAATTGTTTTCTAGAATTTTCTGAAAAAGAAGTCATTCTAATACTCTTTGAAGAAAAAGATTTGTTTGCAATACCCCAAAATGGTGGTTTTTACATGTAACGCTTGTGGGGAATCTGTGAAGAAGGTACAGGTTGAAAAGCATGTGACTCTGTGCCGGCATTGTGAATACCTTTCTTGTATGGATTGTGGCAAAGATTTCTGGTAAGTAGCTTCACTGTTTGGTGCGTAATGAAACCTGGTGCTCCACTGACCATCCTCCTCAGAGGAATCATTTTCTGGGAAATTGCTTTCAAGTAATGTGTGTGAAAAGTGTTGGGGAGATGAGGGGTACAGGAATCTTTTCATGCACTCCCATCTCCACTGTGTTCATTTTGGGAGGGAGAGAAGCTGGCTTCCCAATTGCATCGAGAGAGAGAGACAGACAGTTGTTCTAAACCAAAACTCAGTTTATTCTATTACACACTCTTAAGTCAGAAAACACTTTTTTAGCATTTCAGTTTTCAACACAGAATATTTCAATACAACCCCAATACATAGATAGTGCCCCTGAAGTTCTATAAAGGATGTCCTTGGTTGCTCTTCCAAAGACCCATAACAGAAGGGTGGTTGACCAGAACAACAAGGAACAAAACTAAACCCAGACATTAAGTACCTTTTTCCAACCATAGAAGTTAATGTAACTGTCAGTCAAGTCTGTGATGAGTATTTGACATACATACATCTGACATATACAACAAAGTCAGCCCTTTCTATCTCTCGGGTCAGGAAAGTCAAGAAAAACTGGATTAAACTCGGTTGACTTGAGAGTCAAGGAATCTAGTCACAGATACTTTATCTATTTAGAACTTGATAGTGACTCCTGACTTCTGCAGTGTATAAACATTCCCAGAAGGCAAAAGTCATGTGAGGCGAAAAGTCATGTGCAGGGTTACCGGTGCCCCAAGGCCACAGCACTTAGCAGAGTCCTGAGGCCTCCTGGGAAACAGAACCAAAGATTCAACTACAGAGGCTAATTGCCTCTATAGAGGCTCGCTCCAGGCCGTAATTCTGCAACAAAAAGCCAGGTGTTAAAATTATCCTCTCTTTGTTCAAAAGTAGCATTTCTACTGCGGGGGAGTGTTCAGAAGTTTCTCCTTGTTACTCTGTTTTGGAAAGATGGGCGGGCCACAGACCCACCCCTCTCCTATTCCTTTTACTGTGAGGAGGAAGTAGCAACCAAATGTGGAGATCCTGGTGGCATTTGTTTAAAGGCAGCGTTTAATCTGGATGACCGGGTTTGATTCCCCACTCCTCCACATGCAGCCAGTTGGGTGACCTTGCCCCGATCACAGTTTCTGTCAAGTGCAGTTCTCTCAGAGCTCTCTCAGCCCCACCTACCTCTCAGGGTGCCCGCTGTGGGGAGGAGGGAAAGAGATTTCAGGGCAGGGTATAAATCCAGTCTCCTCTTCTTCATTTCCCTAACCTGGTGGAGGTGACCCCTCCGCACATTGATTCACCATGTGGGGAGGGAGAGTAGGCGTGAGTGTTTTGACCCCATCTCAGATGCACTGAGGCAGGGGCTGAAGCCAGCGTGTTTGTGACCAGCCTCCCTCCCCACCTGGTAAGCCAATGTGCTGGAGGGTCATCTGTGCTGGGCTCCTTACTGTGCAAGTGTGAGATCTTACAGAGTGAGGGAGTCGGGCCCTGGCTGTACACGGGGATGTCTGAAAGTTTGGCTGGTCCTAATAAAAGAGATTCTATGGATTTTGATCTGGAAAATATCTCAGCAAAAGTCACACCCACGTCTCCATCCCCTTCCTCAGACATAAGTCTTTGCTCATGCAGCAGGTGCTCTTGGGCTTCGAGGGGATGCTTGGCATAAGTAAAGTTTTTAAATTGGTTAATATAGCATAAGGCATCGTTATTGATCATTTCTACAGCAGGGCAAAGAGTGCTTCTTAAATCAACTCCTGAACCGAATTAATCCCTTTGTTATTAGTGCATGCCTAACCCTCCATAGGATTGCAGTTGTCAAACCTTGCTTCCCTTCCCTTGCCTAGTTTGCCATAGTTATTGGGGGGAGGGAAATTCCTGAGGGGGGGCAGTGACTGATGTCCTTTTCAGAGCAGTAACTTTCCTGAAGATATACCTCTTTCTCAGGGGGATGTCCTTCAGACTCTCGGAGCGTGTAGATAATGGAATCATATATTTTCCAATTAGGTTGTGATGGCAATGGCTAGATGGGGTGGTTGTGACGTATGAGTGAAGACGGGGAGAGGGGTCTGTTTGAATTAAGCAGGTGCACACCAAATTTGTCAGTTCTAACACAAATGCTATATATCTCAATAAACATATCACTGCCAAAGAGAGTGAGTTGAGAGTAACTTGACTGGGAGTCTTGACAGCAGTCCAGCTGGGATGAGTCCTGTAGTCTCTGTTAGCTGGATTAATGGTGTGCTGACGCCTTGTCAGGCTTACTTGAGGCCCTTTCGTATGGCCATAGCTGAAAGTGTTTTGACCTGAAGTACCATGTTAAAAATGTCATCTGTGTACATCACTAGTTAAGAACATAAGAGAAGCCAATGTTGGATCAGGCCAATGGCCCATCTAGTCCAACACTTTGTCACACAGTGGTCAAAAACACCAGGTGCCATCAGGAGGTCCACCAGTGGGACCAGGACACTAGAAGCCCTCCCACTGTTGCCCCCCCCCCCCACAGCCCCAAAAATACAGTACATCACTTTCCCCAGACTGAGAGTTCCTATCTATACCTTGTGGCTAATAGCCACTGATGGACGTCTGCTCCATATGTTTTTCTAATTCCATGCTTGTAGCCGCTGCCATCTCCTATGGTAGTGAATTTCATGTGTTAATCACTCTTTGGGTGAAGAAGTACTTCCTTTTATCTGTTCTAGCCCGACTGCTCAGCAATTTCATTGAGTGCCCACGAGGTCTTGTATTGTGAGGAAGGGAGAAAAGTACTTCTTTCTCAGCCTGCCCTATCCCCTGTATAATCTTATAAACCTCGATCATGTCACCCCTCAGTTGTCGTTTCTCCAAGCTAAAGAGCCCCAAGCGCTTTAACCTTTCTTCATAGGGAAAGTGTTCCCAACCTTTTAGAAGAAGAAGAGAAGAAGAAGAGATTGGATTTTAGAGCCCCTTCACTACCCAAAGGTGTCTCAGAGCGGCTTACAAACTCCTTCCCCTTCCCCTCCCCACAACAGACACCCTGTGAGGTAGGTTGGGCTGAGAGAGCTCTTTACAGAAACTGCTCTTTTTCAAGAACAGCTCTTATCAGAGTTACGGCTTGCCCAAGGTCATCCAGCCAGGTGCAAGTGGAGGAGTGGGGAATCAAACCCGGTCCTCCAGATTAGAGTCCATGCACTTAACCACTACACCAAACTGGCTCTCATTCTAGTTGCCCTTTATCATTCTAGTTGCCCTTTTCTGCACTTTTTCCAATGCTATAATATCCTTTTTGAGGTGTGGTGACCAGAATTGTACACAGTACTCCAAACGAGGTCACACCATCGATTTATACAGGGGCATTATGATACTGGTTTCATGCATGTCCTTCTTTTCAAAGGGGTGAGGATTATAAATCTCATGTGAAGTGTGTAAGCGAAGACCAGAAGTACGGTGGCAAGGGATATGAAGCCAAGACTCACAAAGGTGATGCCAAACAGAAAAAAAGCAGGAATGGATTCAGGTAAAACACACAAAAAGGTCATGTGTGAGTATGGTAACATTGTTTGATTTTTGAAACAAATGAGTGGATTTCATTTTCTCCAGCCTGAACCAGCACATCAGGACAGTTGTCTAGTTTATGTGTTATCCATAGTACAGTCAGATTTGGCTTCTTAGTTGTGAAGTGCCAGCTCTTGCCAAGTGTGAAATTCCAGATTGCTATCGCCCCGTGCCCTTTTTTAGAGCCCCGTGGCACCTTTAAGACCAACAAAGGTTTATTCACCTTGAATAAACCTTTGTTGGTCTTAAAGGTGCCACGGGGCTCTAAATTTGTTCTAGTGCTTCGGACCAACGTGGCTGACCGCCTGGACCTGTGCCCTTATTTACAGTGGCCATAAACACGGCAGTGCCAATATGCTTGCTGCATTTCCAGTTTTAAAGGGCCTTGAGTGGCCAGTCTGGAAATCACCTGTGCCTGAATCCCTGAAATGTTTCCACTAGTTTGAGCAGCTCTGTTATTCATGGTAAGGTTGCTTCTTCTCCCTCCCTCAGCAAATCACTTAAAATTGGTTTTTCACAGCTTGGGGGGGGGGGCAAGGGAGCTCAGGGTCTTTCTGAATTTTTTCCTGGGAGTTGTCTCCAAAACACCGAGCCAGAAGCCGCCATCTCTGTCCAGGTCCTCGCTTATGCCAAATGCACCGTGGGAACAACGGGTGTAAAGGGCTTCAGCAACCACAGAAATTTTGTTTTTAAGGCTTGGTTTCTCCTGGATTCTTTGTAGCATAATTGGAAGTGTCCATTGCTGCTTGAGCATTAGGATGTGGAGTTCCTGATGTCTTCTGATCCTGTCTGTTGGATGAAAGGACTTGGGATCTCTCTTTCCCAGGCTTTGAGCAAAATGGAAGCTTCGGCGCATGTCCCAAAGAATCAAAGGTGTGACCAGACTGTCAGCAAGCTGCCATTCTGTTCTCTGTGACCTCTGTGTACATATCCTTCCCTGTTGCACCCGGCTTGGTTTCTATCATCCTGCTCCTGCGTTGGAATGCAAAAGATAACTGCTGGAGGTTGTGTGGGGGAGAAGATGCTGTAATGCTTGGCTATTGCTTTTCCCATGAGTACTGCACCTGTGTTTTGTCTAATGTTCTGCCTGGTTCCCATAGACTGGGCGCGCAACTGTTTCATTAGCCCGCCAGCGGGAAAGCTATTCATTGGACCTGTATCTGTTTGAAGTTCCTTTATTATGCTTGACCTAACTGTGTATCCCCAGTTAGGATTTATTCTCGATGCTTGGGGATTTATTCTCGATGCTTGGGGATCCAACACAGACACAACGATGAGGACTTGCTGAAGTCTCCCATATCAGCTCTCTCTGCTTTCTGTTCCTCCCTATCTCCAGGCTGGATCGTGCCCAGGTGGCTTCATAGCTAAGCCGGTGCCTGGCAGTGTTCCCTGCAAGCTGAGTTGGTGTGAGCTAGCTCACAGTTTTTTAGCCTCCAGCTCACAGATTTCTGTCTTAGCTCAGGAAGGATGGCTCATTTATTCAGTAGCCAAATTTATGCAGCAGCCAAATTGCTGGCTCACAACTTTAATGCCAGTAGCTCACAAAGTAGAATTTTTGCTCACAAGACTCCACAGCTTAGAGGGAGCGTTGGTGCCTGGTGAATTGTAAGAAGCCTGAAGAATAAAGAGTTGGAGTTCTACAGAGCAGTGCTTTAGTATTCTGTATAGTTCCTTGTTCTTCCTCATGAGTATCAACTGCAAACTAAATTATGAAAATAAGTTCAGGCTTGCAGAATTGTTTATTTTAAACAAGTATGCGTGTGACATATTCTTAGCAATTGTGAATATGCTTGTGACATATTCTTAGCAATCTTACTTTCATGGGTTGGGGGCGGCATTGGTATATATTGGTATAAGGTAATGGAGTCACAAGCAGGACTTTACATGTACAACTGAAACCTGCACTTAGAATCATGTACTTAGAATCACAGTTAAATAACAGTTGGACCTCCTAATGCACCTGGCTCCACCTCATGTCTTCCTGAAGTAGGAGTTTGAAGTGTACTTACAGCTAGAATTCAAAGTAAATATGCCTTAGTCCAATAGTTCAAGAATGAATCAGAGTGCTTGATGGTAAATAGTCACAAGGTCCTTTCTCAAAAATGTGTCTTCTTTCCCACAGTAATGGCTAAGATTATGTTCCTGTTGAGGGGGGGCAGTGAAGGTTCTCATGCAGACAGATTACTACAATTTGTTCAGATGTTTACAAGCACTAGATGTTTACAAGCACTCTTGTGGCTACTGGCATTCATTATGTTTGAGTTCAGCACTTAATATGTTTTAGCTGAAATGAAGTGAAGGAATGAGAATTTCCTATATGCTTCATGGAAAGTTGCTTCTAAAGAATTCTAAATGGTTAATCATAGAATCATAGAGTTAGAAGGGATCTCCAGGGTCATCTAGTCCAACCCCTTGCACAATGCAGGAAAGATGTCAGATCTTTTAATAAAATCAGACACAATATCAGATTTATTTTGGGGGGGTAACTTTGGGAAATCCGCTTGGTCCTGTGTGGATAGGAAAAGTGGAAAGGTGCCCATCCGTAGCCTTTGATGATGTTTACAAGTCTTGAGCATATGTTTGATTTCACTGTACCCAAACGTGCTGTTGAATACTATTGTGTTCCCCCTACAGAAGATTCATGAAGCAATAGAAAAAACAAACATTAATCCAAAGGTTCGCGATATCTTACAACAAATGTATGCCTTTGATAATATTCCAAGGAAAAAGGGGAAGTTTCAGGTAAGTTATTCAAAGGCAAACAATTTTTGGGTTTTATGTCTCTCCAACAATTGTTTTCACACTGTGTTTAGAAACCCCTGAGGTTCCTTTGAAATTTATCAGGGAGAAAATCAGGACTGAGCAATAAGCTTTCCTGTAAAGAGCCCAAGATGTAGTGGGATTGTGTACTCCCACTTCAAGATAGCTTGGTTGTCTGCATCATCCTGTCCAGTGGCAAGGAGAATGTTGCTACACATCAAGTGCAGATGTGGGTGTAAAAACTGGAATTACAATGGTCATTGATAGCCCCTCAAAAGATGACTAGTGTGTCACCCACAGGAAAGTGTAGCGTGCATTCCAGCTGGCATTCTCAGTTTGTGGATGACAACAGTGAGGCCCAATAAGCTGGGCAGAATAGTTATATGCTCTGTCTAGAGCATGCCACAGAAATTCTCTACTACACACAGAAGTTCTACAATTGGTAAATCAGTGTTAAAGGAGAAAATGCAAAAAATACGTGGTCCTACTGATGTATTTTTTCCTTTCACACTTGAATCTCTTATCTCAACCCCCATTTAGAACCAATCTCAAAACTCTGCTGCCTCTTCTTTACTGCCTCCTGCTGTTGCCAGCTCCCCTTTCTGCTGCTGTGCACATTTCCCCTTTTGATTAGAATTTGCGTCAGTGGTTAAACTGGAAGCATTGAGTGAATGGGATCATTCAAGTGCTATAGCCCCGTGCTTAATTTCTCAGCCTTGGCGATTATGAAAGTGAATACAGTATAGGCAAAAGGATTCAGGGAGGGGGAGGACAAAGCCTGACTTAACAGACCAGGAACATTGATAAACATTGATAAACATCCACTCTGTTGTTAATTCGAGGACTGTCTAAAATGCAAAAGTTTCCAAATACAGCTTCTTGGCTGTATTCCAAATACAGCTTCTTGCCAGCTCTCAGACTCTTGCCTGGCTGCTTGTGATCTGCCTTCCCATGCCTGCTGTATTTGCCACTGTTAGGTTGGAAAAGCAGGATTATATGAGTCCATCTGGCATTGGAGTCCCCAGCAAGGTGTCCATGGGTATGCTAGTGCCTCCTGACACCTTTTCTGGTGCCTGCCAAGTGGGGACTTTTGCTCCGCAGAGCTCCTGACTGGCCATTGGAGATCTGATTGGTTGTGCAGGTTATAAAGGTGTCAGAGCCCCTGGAGAAATCAGTTCCCAATAACAGTCATTCAGAATTATTAAAGTTTATTGAGACATTGATAGGATCCAGACTCATAAGGTTCTTTGTTACAACTGAGGTCAAGCGCACAAAGCAAACAGTTATACTGCAATCAAATAAGACATTAGTGGCTCTTGGCCAATCGCACCTAAGCTGAAAGCCCGCCAAACTGACGGCCTAAAATTCCCAGGGGAAAGAGAATACCAAAGACAGTGTAGGTCTCAAGGTTACACGGCTACAGCAGACAGATACCAGCATCGTGGCCAGAAACAAAACCTTTGGGTAGTGAAGGGCCATGGGGTATAAATCCAATCTCTTCTTCTTCTTCTTTTCTTCTCAACAGAACTGGATGAACAACAGTTTGAAAATACACAACACTGTTCTACAGGACCAGGTGTGGGATATCTTTTCAGAAGCTACCAAGAAGGTAAGCAAATCAAATACATGCTCTTAGGTTTGCTGTTTTATGACTCAGCTTGATATGAAACATGCATTAAACATGTTTGAATTGAAAGATGGCCTTGTTTTCTGGTTACGCCACCCCCAGTTCCCAGGCAAGGCCCTGGGACGCAGCCAGGCATCCTGCTTTCTTACTTGGGGCTGAAATGCTGGGCCATTGAGCTGGAAGTGGCAGAGCAGTTTCCGCTTTATCGGGATGACACATCTGCCTTTGGCCCTCAGAGGAGGCTCATTCTGTCTTCTGGAGGGCAGACAGACAAGGGCCTCCCTGGAAGATCTTTGCTGATGGGCAGAAGTAGGTGGGAGCAGAGATGGTGCTGTAAGGATCTTGGTCCCGGCCCACTTAGAGCTCTAAATGGTGCCCGTTCTAAATTGTGCTTGGAAGCAAACAGGTAGCTGGTGAAGATCTTCAGTGCAGGTGCAGTGTGTTCTCCATCTCCAGAGCTTGCCAGCAGGGTAATTAAGACTGTTTCGAAGCATTAAAGTGCTGTCCCATATAAAGTGCATGGCACAAAGCCATATGGATGTGACTTCTCTCCACCTAACCAACCTCACAGGGTTGTTGTGCATATAAAATTGGGGAGGTGAAGAATGTGTGAGCTAGCTGGAGAAAAGCAGGGATAAAAATGTGACAGATAGAGCTCCATCAGCTGAACCAGGAGAATACCACGGCCAACGAATGCAGGCGGCTGAGAGGTCCAGGAATGTCAGCAGGACTGCTGTCTCCTGGGGAGAGTTGTCAGGTAGATTATGTGATAGCACATGTAACAGTGTCCTAATGGTTCCTTTTAAAAAAATCAGTGGGGGGGGGCCTTCTCAAAAGCACCAGGGGAATGCTTCTCGTGCTGGAGGAGAGCCCTCTGTTAGTGGAGAAGATCCACCCAAGCCAACCCCCATAAGGAATTATATGTTCAGACCTGGATGGTGGTGTATATTTCAGAGGAGTTTGTGGTGTTTCTAGAGATGTAACATTTCTAGAAATGTTGAAGCCACGGGGGGGGGGGGGGGGGGGATCTGTTTTCCAGAAAGAAAGAAAAAGTGTTTGGAAAAACTGAAATATAGGCAGTACTTGCTATCCCATCAAACCTAACCTAACTTTACTGATTTAGCAACATAAAATGCATCATTTATACCTTAGCGTGGAGTCCCTGTGGTCCTCTCACTGGTGACTGCAGAAGCCTCCCTTCCCCTGTGACTGTGCAGCCCAGTGGAGGTGAGGTGTGTGCCCTTCTTGTCTTCCCCATTTAAAGGGACCGAGTGAGAAAGAGGAGAAGCCACAAGACGCAGCTGGAAATCGGTGTGAAAAAAGTGAAGTTCCGCCAAAGCTACCTGAAGAGGATGTAGCAAAAACAGAGGCACTGGCAAAGAAAAAGAGCAAAAGGGAACGGAAAGAAGAGAGGCAAAATGTCAAAAAGGAGAAAAAGGAATTAAGGCTACAGAGTCAACAGGACAGCTCACAACCTTTGAAAGTCAAAAAGTCTAGGAAAGGAAAATGTGAGGAAGAGGACGAGCAGGCATCTCAACGCAGTCGTGTGAAGGTGACAAAGAAGAAGCGGCGAGCCATTGATGCGGTGGAGCCAGAAGTGAACGGCCGGAGCCTTCCTTCCGAAGAGCCAGGAGGAGGGACCCAGCCCAGGGCCAAGAAATGCAAGCGCAGCCCCTCAGAAGGTACAAGAGTAGCAGTCGGTGCCACTCCTGCTTGTAAGAAACCCCCCTCCACTGGGTGCCGGTAGGGATGTCCCCACCCCTAAGAATTGTGTCCATAGGTTAGGGATAATGAATAACTGTAGCCGCTCAGAGACCCCTTCGGGGGTTAGAGCGGGGTAGCAAGTCGAAGAAATAAATAAATAAATAAGATGTGGCAGCATCTTAAAGCAAAGAGTGGAATCGCTGTTTTAAAATGACTGAATGCAAATAGTGGTGTGTTTTGCCCTTTTTAATTAAGCGGTTCAGTGGAGGAGGGGGAAACCTCGTCATGATCAAATTGACTGGAGGGGAGGGGCCACCCTGCACCATCTTGGGACAACAGGAGCATTCAGTCCTCTGCCTTTCCAGAATGTCCTCCGCATAAGAGGCTTTGATGAAACAGCATCAGGCAGAACAGGGTTTCCTCTCCTGACAAGGGCAGGGTTCAGCATTACGATGTTTCATTCTGGTGCTCCTAAAGCCTGTCCATTGGTGTGATGGAGGGACAGAGGGCCCTGCCCCTTTCTGTCAGTCACCAGTCCCTTGTATGCCTGTTTAGTGCGTGTGTGCGCGCGCTCCCGGGCCTGCAGTCAATGGCCAATCAGGGGTCATGGATGGCTGAAGAAGCCAGATGGGAGCAGGGATCAGAGAGAGAAATCTATCTCACTGTCAGTTCTCAGATAGGGTCTAAGAGAGAGACTGGAGGGATACTGTCTCAGTGTCTGGTTTGAGAGTAAGCCGGCTAAAACTGAATTTTTTAAACAGGGTTTGTGCCTCCAGTAAAGTAGGTAGGAGCAAATCCTTTCTCAGGATTTCAATACTTTGCGCATCAGACTCTAGCTTTTGGGATTTAGCATGTTAAATTCAGTGTGTCCTTTAAAGAGGAGACTGTGCTAACTTGCTGGTTTTCATGGGTAGTAGGTTAAGTTGTTGGAACTTCCAGAAGGAGCTAACATTTGTCCCATGAGATGCCTGAGGCTGGGGAAAGGCCAAAGATTCACCTCAGGAATCACAGCTTGGCTGAAAACGGCTCTCTTCACTTCTGCCTTGTTATCTGGACCATTATAATTTGTGAGCCCAGCAGATGCTGTGTGTGATGCTTGTATATCGTTTCAAGCCTCTTTACTGTACAACCTTATTCCATTTAAGAAGGTTAATAAAAGTTACTCTCCACCTCCCACCCCCATTTACTTCAGGCCTCAGCTGGGAATCCGTGCTTTCAGAAGCCACTTAGGGCTGGCCGGTCAGGTGGCCGTCGCGGTAGAGACCCGACCGGTCAAACTACACAGCAGGCTTCCTCTTTTTAAATGGTCGTTAAACTTTCCATCGTCACAGTGTGACCACATCTTTTTGACACTTTTCCATATTTTCTCTCCCTGTAAATTTAGAAGAGTCTTGCATTGAAATAAAAAGAATGAATTGTCCAGTAATTGAAGAAAATGAGGATGAACATCAAGGTAACCTTAATTTGAAAGGCTGTACTAAAGTAACATCATTTAAATAGTAACTATTTTTGGTGGTATTTATAAACCAAAGCAGCTCAGCCAATATGGTGTGTGTGTGTCTGTGTGTGTTAGAATTAATGTTGTGAAAGTGTAGGGAGTAGTTATCATGTTTTTAACGCTATTGAAATTTCTCTTGGATATCCTGGCCTGCTCTCGCCTTTCCTGCTTCCCTGTCTTTGTGGTTTAACAACAAAGGTTATGAGCTTTCATGAGTCACTGGTATCTGAAGAAGTGATCTGCGACTCACAAATGCTCCTCCCCTGCCACAAAATTGTGTTAGTCTTTCTGATGCTCCTGGACTCTGGCTCTTTTTTACTGCTTCAGACAGACTAACACGATGACCCATCTCGATCTGTCTTTGTTGCTGTTAATTTTCCTCTTCTTTGCCCCCCACCCCCAGTAAATTTCTAGTTTCCAGTTCTCTCAAGGCAGGGATCTTTCTTTAATGTTGCTTTGAGAAATGTATATTGATGGTTCTGTTAAATGATGGGAGCGGTTAATTATGATCTCAGATTAAACATAATGCCTGTGACCAAGTGTTAAATAGGCCTGGCTTGAAACGGCAAGTGAATCAGACCTTTCCTCTGGAACAGATGCAAGAGGCTTGTTAGGGAGGCCAACCGTTATCCCTGCAGCAGCGACAGATGTCGGCTGTCCTGTCATGGTTTTCTCACTCTCCGTTCCTCACTGTCCCCTTCACCCCCAGATTATAGATACCAATCTGACCGGCTTCTTTCATGTTATTTTCCTTCTTATCATTTTACCTTGTCCGTGTTGAAATGACATCTCACCTCACAGGCAACTAGTGCAAAATGTGCAACCTTGGAATGGAAATGTTTAATTTGTACTCTGCTGAGGCTCAGAGGCAAGCTTAGCACACCCTTTGTAGACCAAGTTTTTTTACAGCTGGTTTTTTGCCTCCCTGGTTGGGAGGATGTTGCTTCATGGGTTAATGAGGAGCAGCCGGCCAGCCAGCCAGGGGAAGAGGGATCTCTTATTATCACAGAGGTGAAAAATCTCTACTGGAGATAATAGCTGATTTTAAAAACACTTTTTGTGAACATGCCAGGTAGTGAATCCTCTCTAGGCAGACATTTTATAGGTGAGGTTATGGCAAAAAATAACAAACAGTGGGCTCAAAAGGGGATGAAATGCAGAAGGTGTCAAAGGAGATGTAACTATGTAGCATTCTGAAATAAACACAGTACATTCACGGTAGGTGTGATGGGCCACTTCTCCTGTGTTGCTAAGTTGGTTAATCAGAAATGACTGTGGAGTTCAGGTTTCACCAAGATTATTAATACCTGCAATTGACTAAGGCTACTTGACGAATTCTGGGTCCGTGGATTCCCTGTAGACGGGGTCATTCTGCCCTCTAAGGCCTTCAGCTGGAGTGAAATCGTGTCAGCCACGAAGAGGCTTGAGAATATTTTGCTGCCAGATGGCAACCCATAGAAATTCCTTCAGACTGGTAATTTCCCACAAGCGCGAAGGGAGCGGTCTTTTTCTTCTGGGCTAGTCTAGATGCCTACCTTCAAAGAGCCAGACTTGACTCCGGGACTAATGTCTGGGGTATGAAATCCTGTTAGGTTTCTCTGTTTTTTCTGGTGCCTCAGTGGTTGCTAGCAGTGCTTCAGCCACCACCAAAATGAGGCCCAGGAAGTCATTCGTTCAGCAAGCAGGCAGCCAACCTGACTCTGTGTGATAGCTGGATTTTGTACTACTTTTGACAAAAAAAGTATTTATTTTAATCTCTGTGTGGTGTGTGTTTACTAATTGTACAGGTAAATTCAGTTGGAAAGGGACCATAAAGGCTGTTCTGAGACAAGCACCTGACCATGAAATTTCAGTTAAGAAATTAAGGAAAAAGGTATGTTGAACACTTTAGAAATCTCTAATCTGTATTTGACCCACCAGTTCTCCTGCACAGGCAGCCATGAGGTGCCTGAGAGCTGCCCCAGGTGCACAGCAGAGCTCTTGTTCCTTTGGATCAGTCTGGTGTGGAAGGGCTGCCAGTGTATGCTGGCATGACAGCTCACAAAATGGGGATCATGAACCAAAACATGGAAGTCTTCATTTAGCCGGGGCTTCTTAAGGGAGCAGGGCTGAAAGGGTTCACTGTTGGGAGGCAAAAAAACTTTTTATGCTGTGTTCTTAGCCAACATGGAATTAAATATGTGTTATTTCTTGTGCAGGTCTTAGCCCAGTATTATGCAGTCACAGGAGACCAGCATAAACCTGAAGTGGAAATTCTGGCCTTGTTTAATAAGAAAGTCAACAGTAATCCTAAATTTAAAGTTTTAAAGGAAAAAGTTAAGCTTCTAAAATAGTTCTTATGTTCAAATGATCTAATTTTGCTCATTAGATCCAGTTTTACCATCAGATGTGAAAAGTCGTTTCCACTCATTTTCATACTTATGTCAGCAAAACCTCACTATGTCACACAAAACCACAGTCTGTCACAGCCTGTCACTTCTAATGATAAAACATATTTGTTACTTTTAAAAATGTATATTTTTGTAAAGGAAGAAAAAAACTATTAAAATCTTGTTTGAGGTATCTATAGTAGTCATGGGTTTTCTTTTGTGATCTGGATCATGTACGTGTTTTTGTGTAGCAGATAATTCAGATGTGTTTCATACATATTCAAATAAATTACTGTGGATCAGTGAACCACTCAGCTCTGATCCAGACAAAGTAAGTTTCAACATGATAGTCACAACTAAAAGTAACATATTTGGGACTCTCGTGCATACTGATGGCATCTAATATCCCCATTTTACTACAAACAGAGGTGGTTCTAAGCAGGGGTCATTTAGTAGAAAAAGAGGTGCAGGAACTCATTAGCATACCTTATTAGCATAACTTATTTGCATATGCCACACCCCATGACATCACCGGAAGTATGTCAGAAGGCAACACCCACCTCTCAGGCTCTACTGGACTGTTTTGGATTGCTAGCTATTGGAGGGGGGGAACGTGTAGATCTGCCCTCACAGAGGAGGGAGAGCTTGTACCTGAAGGTGGGCCGGGGGGAATGACCCCTGGTTCTAAGGCATGTGAGCTGGCACAGTCCTTTTGGCTTCAGTAATGTCATCCTTTTAGGATGACGGACAATAATAATAATAATAATAATAATAATAATAAATGTTGAAGTCCAGATGATGGTGGTACCCTGCCACTCCACGTACAGATGTTTTCCTGCATTCCTGTCTATTTTTGAAGCCCCTTCCAACCCCTGGAAAGCTACCTAAAGCCTAGAGGAAATGTGGTATATAACCATTTTGATAAATTTAAAAAAGATCATTTCTAGGGTTGGGGAATCACATGGAGGAACAGCTGTGCAGGTTCGGTGGGGGAGGCTGGAGTGAGGCGGGGGGGCTGTTTTATCTCTTTGTCCCTCCCCATTCCATACCACTAACTCAGATAAGCAGAAAAAAATGGTTTTGTAAATTATTCCAAAGCAAAGGGAGGAATCAAAGCATAGCCTGATGAGAACTAAGCATGCTCCCAAAGGGACAGAATGTTGTTGTTGGATTTTTGGGTATCTTTCATGTGTGCGAGTGGGTGTGCACCTGGAAGTCATGGCAGCCTCTGGTGACTGACCCCCACTGGGGGCTATTCAGAGAGGTGGCCGAATAAAGCCTGCCCCCGCCTCCCGCCTCTGGTATTCCAAGGAGTGTACTTGCCAGAGCCGACCCTGCTTAGCTTACGAGATCTGACGAGATTGGGCTTGCCTGGGCTACCCAGGTCAGGGCAAAAAGGGAAGGAATGCTGAAAGCACTTTGAGTCAGTTAAAAGGGAAGGTGGGAGGGATTACCCCGTGAGAGCACAAGAGACCCCTAAAGGTAAGATTTTGAGTGGCAGGATTTCCCAGTGGCTTATCCCTCTCCTTTCTAGGCAAGCTCCCAGCTTGTAGTGCATTAAGGTGTGCACCACCACCCATCGCCCCGTTGCTGGAAGATTTTCTCGTTGTTGATGGATTTTAGTTTCTTCAGCAAGTCAATGGTGTCCCCGTGGGAGTGGCTGGTAGAAGGCCTGATGAGGGAGTTCACAGAGCTCGGGGGGGGGGGGCTGGGCATCAATGGACGGGGCACCCCGGGTTACTTGGCTTGCTCGTTGGAGTGGTGGATGAAAGTCTCTTGAGGTGTGTCTGGAGAGATTTGTTCCTGTACCTTTCGAGTCCATTCTTTCATTAGATTACTTTCTGCTATGCTTCAATGGTGTTGGAAAAATGCCTTTTTCCCTCTTGTACGAGGTCCAGCCCGATTACGGTAACAGGGGACACTCCACTGTTAGCTTCTTTGATTCAGATGCCAGAATCGTTTCTGCTGCTTTTGACTGTTGTGTTCTGCATCACTGAGATTCTCTCTCATGTATGCAGTATTACTTTAATACGATTTTTATTTTCTTGCTTTTAATGGTTTATGTGCCCTGGAACCTTAGGGTGGGGCAGATTCGAAATTTGACAATGGGCTAACAAGAAACATTCCAGCCTGTTTATGTTTCTTTTATGGTTCTGGACCACCTGGCACCTTTTTTTTTTTGTTGCTTTGCATCAAAATGAAATCTATATACCCCAATATTTCCACTGGACTTCACTGAGTGGTGACTTGATACAGAAAGGCAAGACATTCCTTCCTTCAGCTCCTGAAAAGCTGCAGCATCCTCCTTTGAGGAGGAAATCAGAGATGAAATATAAACTTTAGTCAAGGTGAAACTTAAAGGTTTATAGCTCTATACATTGAGTTGTAGTCACAAATTACCAGAGCTCAAAATCAGTACATCCAACATTTAGCCCAATTAAGCTTTCAAGGGGGAAAAGAACCCCTACACACACAGAACAAATGTTCTACGTTTCGTTCCTGCTCTGTGAGCCAAGGAGAGCATATTGAGTTACAGCGAGATAGCAGCTATACAAAAATACTGTGTCGTAATAGGTGATTTTAACTACCCACACATTGATTGGGTCAATATGTATTCTAGTCAAGAAAAAGAGATTGAGTTTCTAGACACTCTAAATGACTGTGCTATGGAGCAGATGGTCACAGAACCTACCAGGGGAGAGGCGATCCTTGATTTGGTCCTAAGTAACACTCAAGACCTGGTGAGAGATGTAAAAGTGATTGCACCGCTTGGGAACAGTGATCATAATGTTGTTGAGTTCAACATTTGTACAAATAGGGTGTTGGACTGGATGGCCCTTTGGCCTGATCCAACATTGGTGTCTCTTATGTTCTTATGTTCATGAGTACTTTAATAGGGAGCATTACTTTATATTTGATTTTAACATTCAGTTGGGCCGGAAGTCATTGGTTGAAGAGCTTCCCACTTTGCATTTGTTGAGGAGGACTCAGTGAAGCCAGCTGGGGGTGGGGGTGGGGTCTTAATTCCTCTCTATATTCTTGTAGAATAGATATTGAACAAGGGGCGGCCCGCGATACTCGCGGGGGGGGGGAAGCAAAGGAAGCAGGAGGAGGAAAGGACCCCCCATCCCCCTGGTTCCCCCGTCTCCTCCACCCCCCTTGCCTTCCCCCCCTTGCCTCTCCCCTCGCGGCTCCTCGCTGTTCACCCCCCGCCCCGATATAGCTGTTTTAAACTATTCCGCAGCATGAGGAAGGAGGCGGAAGGCCGGCCTGTGGAACGGGGCGCAGCAGAGGCTGTCTAGTCGCTCCTCGGGGCAGGAGTAGGCGGCCTTCTTTGAGCGGCCACTCACTGAGGCTCTCTGGACCCAGCCCAGCCAGCTGGGAGGGGGTGGTCAGTGGGGATCTCCGAAGGCCGCCCTGCACTCGCCCCCGTGAGCCCCCCTTCCCTCCTCCGCTCTCTCCCCGAGGCCTCCCTCCGTGGCAACCGCCCGGCAGAGGGAGCAGCGAGGGCGCCTGAGGCCGGGCGTCCAGTTGCCAAGGAACTGGCAAGGAGGAGGAGGTGCCGCCTCCCCTCACCACACAGAGCCGGCCTGGGCTAAAGGGGAGGAGGAGAAGAGGGGTGATCCCCCTGCTACCAATCGCCACAGCCTCTGCCCGGCAGGTGGGGATTGGGACGCCGCGCTCGGCCTGAGGGGGAGAAGCGGGACGGGTGGGATTCCCTCCTTGCTCACCCTCCGGGGCAGGCGACCCGACACCCCCCTCCCGCCGGATCTCTCCGCTCGGGCGACAGGAGCCGCGAAGGGAGCGCTGAGGGAAAGGCGGGAAAGGCAGCGGGGGCGGCGCCATGTCCCAGAAGTAAGTTAAGTCGGCTGCCAAGGAGACGGACTGTGGCCGGCCGGACGCTGGGCAGGGGGAGAGAACCTGTCGCTAGGCCGCAGGCGGTGGTCGGGCTTCTCGGCGCTCCGCGGCTCTCGCTGCTGTTCCCGCCCCTGAAGCGACGGCTGAGCAGCCGCTCGGCCCTCTCTGCTCTTTGCAGAGCGTTCCGTGTGCATGCGCACGGAACGCTCTGGCACTTTCGGGGGGATTTAAACATCCCCCCGATTTTTTTTTCAACATTTAGCATTTTTGTGCACACGTGGGGACCACCCACCGTGTGCACAAACCTCCCCCGGCTGCCCCCGGAGCGCTGATTTAGCGATCCGCACTCCGGGGGCAACTTGGCTATTAGATATATAGATTAATCAGGAATGTCTATCAGGTTGGTTTAAAAAGAGACGTCTTCCGAAATTATGGTCCCCGTGAGTGGGTACTTGTTTCAAGGAGGAAGTCTGCATCCTATTTTTAATGTGAGGGAAAGTGTTTTCAGAGATCCCAACGTTTCATCACATTTTGACACATATGCCAGGAACAGGCAGCAGATGGCCCCTTAAAGACAGTGTCATGACTAAAGAGGAGAGGCAGTATGCGTTCGATGTTTCTGCTCCCCCAAGCCAGACTGGTCATGGCAGTGACCTTCAGACTTTTCAGACTTTGCATCTGCTCTTAGCCCCTAGGAGGTAGCCTGGGACCCACTGAGCAGCAAGCATGTGACATCAATCACATGACAGCAAGCCGGAGTTGTGACCTCTCTCATATCTAGGCCAGGACCGTGGGAGAGCTGGGGACGGAGAACATGAACCAAGCACCCAGCGGTTACCACAGCGAGGAATGAGCCCAGAGGCATGGCTGTAGAGAAATCCCCTCAATCGCCGAGTGGCCTCGCCTCTCCGTCCTGCTCCTCTCAGCGGGTGGGATGGCAACCTAGGAGGAGGAGCTCCTGGCTCACCTGAGTGTCACAAATGAGGGTTCCGACTTCTGGGTGGGGCCTGGAGATCTCCCAGAATTGCAGTGGATCTCCAGATCACTTCTCCTGGAGAAAGTGGCTGCTTTGGAGGAAGAAGAAGAGATTGGATTTATACCCCGCCCTTCACTCGGAGTCTCAGAGCAACTTATAAATCCGTCTCACTTCCCTCTCCCTCCCCACAACAGACACCCTGTGAGGTAGGTGGGGCTGAGAGAGCCAGTTTGGTGTAGTGGTTAAGTGCGCGGACTCTAATC